ATGGGACATTGTTTTTATTTATTTAAAAAAAATATTATTAATTTTTTTTTTTTTCACCCCGCTATCATCCAGAAGGCGAGGTCAGTACAGGTGCATCAAAGCTGGGACCGAGATACTGAAAAACAGCTTCTATCTCAAGGCCATCAGACTGTTAAACAGCCATCACTAGCACATTAGAGGCTGCTGCCTATAGACATAGACTAGAAATCACTGGCCACTTTAAGAAATGGAACACTAGCCACTTTAATGTTTACATATCTTGCATTACTCATCTCATATGTATATACTGTATTATTCTATACTATTCTACTGTATCTTAGTCCATGCCGCTCTGACATCGCTCGTCCATATGTATATATTCTTAATTGATTCCTTACTTAGATTTGTGTGTATTGGGTATATGTTGTGAAATTGTTAGATATTACTGCACTGTCGGAGCTAGAAGCACAAGCATTTCGCTACACCCGCGATAACATCTGCTGAACATGTGTATGTGACCAATACAATTTGATTTGATGTGTTCACAGGCTTTGTTTTTGTCCAAGAAGAGCGTTTACCCTTAACCTAAAGTTGGGTCTTTTGAAATGACACTAGCTAGTAGATGAGGTATTTTATTGCTTTCCAGAATAAGCAAGGAATTTAAAGGACAGAGGGGAAGCTCTGTACTGCGTCTAATATTAGAATACAGTGAGTACTGATGAGAGGAATCTCATGGGGGGTGACTTGTCAGTCTCATTTCCATCACTGGAAAAATTATCCAGCTTTATTTTAAGGCAGGCTTTCAACAATCAATGTGCCTGTTTCTCCTGACAATATCATGTAATTTACAAAGTCTGATTTGTATCCACAAAAGCCTTGTTACAATTGTTACTAATTGTATGGTGTTTATGTTCTCAGTACACCCTCTTGTGACATGAAGCGCTTTGTTGGTCAAAGACCTGAGCAAGACCTGTGAATTCATGGTGCACTGTCTGGTGAGATCAATCATCATAATACATGATCTGATGACATTGCATGATTTTAAGTTTCATGTAGCTATAATAACAAACAGGTCTGTAGTTTCTCCTTATTTTCTTCAATACACACTGAGTGTACAAAACATTAGGAACTAACATTCCTGTCTTGCAGGAAATCACGCACAGAACGAGCAGTATGGCTGGTGGCATTGTCATGCTGGAGGGTCATGTCAGGATGAGCCTGCAGGAAGGGTACCACATGAGGAGGATGTCTTCCCTATAACGCACAGCGTTGAGATTGCCTGCAATGACAACAAGCTCAGTCTGATGATGCTGTGACACACCGCCCCAGACCATGACGGACCCTCCACCTCCAGAGTACAGGCCTCGGTGTAACGCTCATTCTTTCGACGATAAACGCTAATCCGACCATCACCCCTGGTGAGACAAAACCGCGACTCGTCAGTGAAGAGCACTTTTTGGCAGTCCTGTCTGGTCCAGTGACGGTGGGTTTGTGCCCATAGGCGACGTTGTTGCCGGTGATGTCTGGTGAGGACCTGCCTTACAACAGGCCTACAAGCCCTCAGTCCAGCCTCTCTCAGCCTATTGCGGACAGTCTGAGCACTGATGGAGGGATTGTGCGTTCCTGGTGTAACTCGGGCAGTTGTTGTTGCCATCCTGTACCTGTCCCGCAGGTGTGATGTTCGGATGTACCGATCCTGTGCAGGTGTTGTTACACGTGGTCTGCCACTGCTGTCCGTCCTGTCTCCCTGTAGCACTGTCTTAGGCGTCTCACAGTACGGACATTGCAATTTATTTTTGTGTTTAAACCCTTTACAATGAAGATCTGTGAAGTTATTTGGATTTTTACAAATTATCTTTGAAAGACAGGGTCCTGAAAAAGGGATGATGCTTTTTTTCCCTGAGTTACTTAGCATGTTAGCTAACCCTTCCTCTAACCCCTAGCTTAGCTAATGTTAGCACACGTTTTGCAATTCGTAACATGAAATGGATGGATATCCAAAGTAATACATACCATACGAAACATATAATAAATGGTGTCTCGGATTTACATACAGAATATGAAATGCTCTGAGATCGGTTGATTGATAAACTAAATATTCAACAACAATTCATATTTTACATGCCGTGGTCTAATGCAAATAGTTCAAAATTATACAGCAAATGAAAGGGCATTATTGTCACCATAAAAAGGTGAATGGAGGTGTTTTCCAGGCACAGTTTTACGACAGGAAAACATGCGTATGTATGGCGTGAGCCAAGTTGATAAAATCAACATTTTTGTACGTGCGCACTTTTCAGAAATGGAGCACACAGAAATTGTGTGAAATTTACACAACGGTTATAAATGAAGCCCCTGATCCGGGGCCACCAACTGTGTAATCACTCAGCCCCTGACTGGAGAGCTGGTGGTGGAGAGCTCTGATATGGCCATCAAGAGCATTGCGATGCAGCTGGGCCGCGTGGAGACCTGCGGAGTCTGACGCTATTGAGCCTATCTATTTAGACAGCCAGGCCCTGGTAGAATACATCCTTCCGTCTGAGGGAATCATTCATCTGGACTGTACGTTATTGAATTAATGAAAGTAAGATTCCCATTATTTTTGCTTTCACCAATCCAGATGTCTGGACAGGGCCCTAGTTGAACGGTTCAGAAAGGGCACTGTTTTCCAAATAGACCACTAGTCCCTACCCACTCTAAAGAGATTAATAGCGTGGTTTTCTCCATCCTCTCCAGGCTTAGCTGAGCGCGATGCCAGAGATATCCAGATAGCAGAGGGAGACATCTTCTCCAGACTCTTTACCTGCCCTACCCTCGAGACTACCAACTTTAAAGTTGGTGAGGGAACCTGTAATAAATACAAGTCAAATAGTGCAACAGTGTCAATTTTTATGAGTGGTTTACCGATGACTGACAGGTGTAATTCTTTGTTCCTCCGTAGAGTTAGAAGTGAACGTGGTGATTGTCCTCCATGACGACCATCTGATCACAGAACTTCCCTCTGAAGCTGTGCAGAGTGCGAGAGCCCAGAGCTCTTCTGAAAACCCACTGCAATTTGGAGGATGGCCAGAGGCTAGTGCCTTTCATACGCCTGGGCAAGACCAACCTGAAGTGACCAAGGACTCAAAGTCCAGATGGCCAAGAAGTCCTGGCAGACAGCCACATCTGTTGGCTGGACCTCCCTGCTCTGAAAGTGCATAATGTCATATGGATGTCTACAGTTCAGAAAACAAGACAACAAAAAAGTAGAGGATGTGCAAGATTATGGGGTAACTTTTAATAGTGAAAGTCAAAAAAGGCAAACTTAAAGGGTGTAACAAATCATGACATTGAAGCCGCATGGTTGCATTTCAAAATTTAAGAAACCCTGTGCCAATCATAAGCAGTAATATTCCCATTTTCCTAGCAGTAGAACAAATGTTGGCACTTTCAAAATGTTGCCCAAATAAATAATATTTTTTTTAAATAATCTAAAACTGACAAGGACAAATTTGTAAAAAGCAAGTTATTAAATGCATTAACATTCCAGTTATGTTGTCATTGTAAATGATGTGTATTGGCTTAACCTCATAGTAAGATCAAGGAGTTAATCCCCTTCAGGCCATGACTGACTACTTCCAACTACTAATAGCATAAAACTTGACTCAATTAAAAACTGTCAGACTTGTGTGAAGAGTTATGATTTTAAAACATTCAATCATACAAAAATGTGTACATTTTACAAAATTGCAGTTGCAAAGTTGTTTTTCTATCCTCTGACAGTTGCAACTTCAAAGAGCCAAGCTTCACACAAAGTAACTGCCATTCTTTATTACACCAGGCACAAGAGCCTTTCTGAATTAGCTGGACCATAACTAAACTTATCAAAGTAAAATCAGGCCTAACTAAACCATTCCTCTTTAAATCAAGCATGTGTCTCATGACAATACTATGATTTAACTCATTATTTTGTCATTAGAATTAACAATTGAAGCAAACACTTGTGTAAATAAGCATTGTGTGGCACATGCGATAAGCTAAACAAAACATTTCTTGTATGATATAAATCAATATAATATACACTGAACAAAAATATAAAACGCAACTTGTAATGTGTTGGTCCCATGTTTCATGAGCTGAAATAAGATCACCAAACTTTTCCATACGCACATACAGCTTATTGAACTCAAATTTTGTGCACAAATTTGTTTACATCCCTGTTAGTGAGCATTTTCCTTTGCCAAGATAATCCATCCACCATCCGACAGGTGTGGCATATCAAGAAGCGGCAGGTAGCCTAGCGGTTAAGAGCGTTGGGCCAGTAACTTTGAATCCCGAGCAGACTAGGGGAAAAATCTGTCAACGTGCCCTTGAGCAAGGCACTTAACCATGTACGGCGTCGATAGCGTGTATGGTGTCGTTTGGGCGGTTTGCTGAAAATGTCCCAGTTCTTCCATGGCCTGCATACTCAGACATGTCACCCATTGAGCATGTTTGGGATGCTCTGGATCAACATGTACGACAGCGTGTTCCAGTTCTCGCCAATATCGTGCAACTTCGCATAGGCATTGAAGAGGAGTGGGACAACATTCCACAGCCTGATCAACTCTATGCGAAGGAGATGTGTCACGCTGCCTGAGGCAAATGGTGGTCACACCAGATACGGACTGGTTTTCTGATACACGCCCCTACTTTATTTTTTTTAAGGTATCTGTGACCAACAGATGCATATCTGTATTCCCAGTCATGTGAAATCCATAGATTAGGGCCTAATGAATTTATTTCAATTGACTGATTTCCTTATTAACTGTAACTCAGTAAAATCTTTGAAATTGTTGCATGTTGCGTTTATATTTTTGTTCAGTCATAGTAGGGAGATGAATAAATGGTTAAATCACACTTGTCAAAAAACTTCACATGCAACATTTGACAGAAGCGTTTCGTATGGAATTGAGCAGTTGAGCATATATTGGGAATCAATGTGTTTGGAGTTCAGGTATTAGAAGGTTTAGGGGTTCAGGGTAGGTAGCTGGGAGTGTTTAGGAGAAGGCGGGCGTGTGGCCCCTGCGGATTCTGCCAGGCAGCAGAGGGAAGTCCTCGGGCAGGAGAGCGTGCTCTCTGCAGGTGGGACAGGTGCTCTGCTCCTTCAGCCATGACTTAATACACTAGAGAAAGCGACAGAGAGAAGGGGAGATGAAAAGAAAGCTGTGGTATAAATAGAGACTGATCAAAACAGAAATGTCAAATTCCTGTGTTCTGCTAGCCCTAAATAACCACAGGGCCACATAAAAGCGCTGGGCAAACTCAGTTGCAGACTACTTATCGGTGTGATGAAGGTGGCCTTACCTCTCTGTGGAAGCTGTGTCTGCACTCCAGCACACACAGGTCCTCCTGGGACATGTCTTCATGGCAGATGATACAGGGATCCTCCATGTTCAGCTGTACAAGACACAGACCAGAATCAATAAAAAGGTAAGTCTTTAAATGTCACGTGCACAAGTAGAGTGAGAAATGCCTTTATTGCAAGCTCTAAACCTAACAATGTAGTATTAAAAATAACATAAGGTTGTACAAAAACACACGAGAAATAAAAAGAAGAACACGAGAAGCAAGCAAGACATATACAGGGTCAGTTCCAACACCATATTTACAATGTGCTGGGATACTGGAGTGGTAGAGGTAGATATGTATAGGGGTAAGGTGACTAGGCATCATGATATGATAAAGTAGCAGCAGCGTATATGATTGTATATGCGTAGAAGCTGTTCAGGAGCCTATTGGTGTCAGACTTGATGCACCGGTACCCGAAAGCAGAGAGAACAGTCCGTCTTGGGTGGCTGGAGTCTTAACGATTTTCTGGGCCTTCCTTTCACAATGCCTGATGGAGGTCCTGGATGGTAGGGGGCTTGGCCCCAGTGATGTACTGGGCTGTCCGCACCACCCTCTGTCGCGCCATGCGATCGAGGGCGGTGCTGTTGCCATACCAAGTAGTGATGCAGCAAGTAAAGATGCTGTCAATGGTGCAGTTGTAGAACTTCTTGAGGATTTAAGGGCCCATGCCGAAACATTTCAGCCTGCTGAGGGGTAAGAGGCGCTGTCGCGCCTTCAAGACTGAGCGTTTGGACCATTTTAAGTCCTTAGTGATTTGGACACCGAGGAACATTAAGCTCTCGACCCGCTCCACTGCAGCCCGTCGATGCTTAGTCTCTGTGGTCCAATTCTGGGAATAGATCCAAAGTCCCTGCATAGGCTTTTAGCCTACATCCGTAAATACACCCTCAAGGGTATGCTAGTGGCGACTAGGGCCGTGGCGGTCATAAATTGTCAGCCGGTGATTGTCAAGTAAATAACTGCCGGTCTCACGGTAATTGACCAAATTAACAAACACGTTTAGCATCTCCTGGCCTACAAGCCACTGATGCAGACCTTTGGAACATCACATTTTAAAAAGGCTAATAAATGCATTATTTTAGACCGGTCTAAATGTCTATTTCAGAAGAACAGAATAGCATACTCTGAGTTATCCTTATGTTAGGCCCTGATCTGGCTATGACGTATGGCTGTGGGCTACACTAGTTCATTTTGCAGACAAGATTTGCTTAGAATCCCGTGGCATTATTTGACAGTATGAAGAATACAACTAAACATACCTGAATAAAATAGAAAGGATATTTTCTCCAAATGATTTCCAAGGGAGTGTGCACATGCGGCTATTATGTGTTTAGCGGTTAACAAAGAAACAGGTCCTCCTATATGCTTAATTTAGAGTTATTTATGCAACTTCAGTTGTGATACAAACTTTGGGCTATATGTTTTGAATTGTAATACATTCTAATGCTGCACGACGCGACTAATGATCATTTGAAAAAAGTTGAATTAAAAGTCATGAGCTCGGCTTTGTTTCTTGCACAGGCTGCACACACTTCATCAGTCTCTAATTCACAATTTGACAAGCACATAATATTCTCACCAGGCCTTGGATTTCCCAACATCATCCCCTTGTGTGGTCGTAATGCCCCCTAAAAAAAAAAATCCATTCCTTGCGGCCAAAGTACCCATTTTGCCCTTGGGCTGAATATAATAATTATAATTCCCTTCTCCCGGCTGCCAATCACCATGCTCTGAAGCACCTCTCACTCACATATCTCAATTCTTATTAGCCAAAGCAAGTCACGTGATCGGGTCCTTCACACAGGCATCTCAGCTCCGAAATAGGCTACAGGTGAAGACAGGCACATCGGGGACGCAACCTTATTGAATTCAGAGGTGCATATTGAAGATGTTAGAACTGTACACATTTACTTTTCGTCAGCCAACAAGATGAGTAGGCCTAACGAACAGCAAAAGCACTAGCCTCTGTCAATCTACCATCCCCCATAGTACAAAAGTTGACATATTCTATTGGTCAACTTGTCCTTCTGTGCGAGAAATAAATATTCCAAATATACTCTGGGACGGTTGTGGGACGTGATAGATCCTAAATTAATACAACCACTCACATCAAAAAACCTTTTAAAAAGCAATGAGGCTGATGCAACAGATAAGAACATTTAGCTTAAAATGTTGAATTAGGCCATTTCTTCACTTATAAGCGCAGGAATGTGCACACGGCAGTAGGCTACACGCGAATGTTCCAAAATGCAATCAATAAGCAGAAAAACACTTCTCAAATGTGATTATGCATGGAATGCTTTATTATAAAAGGTGAATTTTTATGGTGAAACTTGAAACTCATGCACCGCCTATGTATGCCAGTTAGGCTCTACACTAGTTGTAAAGCGGATTAATGTGCTTAATTTTAATAAAGATATTTGGCCACTTTAGTTGTGATACAAACATATGTGCCTACGGGCTAGGCTACATGAGGTGTGCTTCTATGATTTGAAAAAGTTGAGAAAAAGAGGCATGCGCTGTTTCTTGCCTTACTGCAAACGCTGGGCATCATTCACAAGTGATACTGTCAACCATCAGACTAATCTGGTCTTTAAATATACTAAATAATGTGTGAAATTAGTTTTGATTTAGAATGGACCATTATCATGCACCTGTCTCAGAACAGGGACGGGCAGAGGAAAAAAAAGACATGTCATCTATACACTTAAATAGCGAATGGAGGACGTTTTTCCTGTGGTTCATTTTCATACCAGCCAGGTAGGCTATACTCCTGTTGTAAAGTGAAACAATGTGCTTAATATTAGGAAAGTAGAGAAATAAATATAATAGGCCTAGCCTATAGAAAGCTGATGGGATCCTCTTTTTAATAGAGACCATCAAAACTATTCTCACGCTATTGCATAGCCTATAGAAATGTTGCGTAACATTAGCTCATGGGCTCTCATTAAGTGTTTGATTTGATTTTCGATTACATTTGCATTGAGGTCAGAGTGATTAGAGGGACAATAGAGTGCTGAGTACCAGGCAGTTAGCAAGTATGGTAGGCTACTAAAGACCATCAGCAGCATCAGAGCGCGGATTTGGAGAAGCCTAGCTACCTTGACTAAACGGTCATGTGGAATTTAACTGCAGTCATGACTCGTGACCGCCAGTGTGGCGATGATATGGTCACCGTAACAGCACTAGTGGTGACTAACACGCTCTGTGGGCTTTCTCAGGTGCAATAAGATCACAAAGAAGTCTCCTCAGTGTTTATGAACTGATACGCAAAACGACGCCAGATTCAAAACTTATAATTTTTCAATTTAAATTATTATACCAAATTCTTGCTACCAATAGAATGTTATTTATATGGGGGATACAATCTTCCCAGCTCTGCAGATTTTGCTGCGAAGAGAATCATTAGATATTTTGTTTTGGTACTGTTAATTTGTAGCTTGAAAGGTCCAGGAATGGCTGAAGGATTGCAATATTTACCTGGAGCTAACCCTGCAGATAGCACTAATGGGTGATCTGAAAAGTCAGTCAATCGATCAATAATACACTGCTCAAAAAAATAAAGGGAACACTTAAACAACACAATGTAACTCCAAGTCAATCACACTTCTGTGAAATCAAACTGTCCACTTAGGAAGCAACACTGATTGACAATAAATGTCACATGCTGTTGTGCAAATGGAATAGACAACAGGTGGAAATTATAGGCAATTAGCAAGACACCCCCAATAAAGAAGTGGTTCTGCAGGTGGTGACCACAGACCACTTCTCAGTTCCTATGCTTCCTGGCTGATGTTTTGGTCACTTTTGAATGCTGGTGGTGCTTTCACTCTAGTGGTAGCATGAGACGGAGTCTACAACCCACACAAGTGGCTCAGGTAGTGCAGCTCATCCAGGATGGCACATCAATGCGAGCTGTGGCAAGAAGGTTTGCTGTGTCTGTCAGCGTAGTGTCCAGAGCATGGAGGCGCTACCAGGAGACAGGCCAGTACATCAGGAGACGTGGAGGAGGCCGTAGGAGGGCAACAACCCAGCAGCAGGACTGCTACCTCCGCCTTTGTGCAAGGAGGAGCACTGCCAGAGCCCTGCAAAATGACATCCAGCAGGCCACAAATGTGCATGTGTCTGCTCAAACGGTCAGAAACAGACTCCATGAGGGTGGTATGAGGGCCCGACGTCCACAGGTGGGGGTTGTGCTTACAGCCCAACACCGTGCAGGACGTTTGGCATTTGCCAGAGAACACCAAGATTGGCAAATTCGCCACTGGCGCCCTGTGCTCTTCACAGATGAAAGCAGGTTCACACTGAGCACATGTGACAGACGTGACAAGAGTCTGGAGATGCCGTGGAGAACGTTCTGCTGCCTGCAACATCCTCCAGCATGACCGGTTTGGCGGTGGGTCAGTCATGGTGCCCTGGGTTCCTTCTAATGCAAGACAATGCTAGACCTCATGTGGCTGGAGTGTGTCAGCAGTTCCTGCAAGAGGAAGGCATTGATGCTATGGACTGGCCTGCCCGTTCCCCAGACCTGAATCCAATTTATCACATCTGGGACATCATGTCTCGCTCCATCCACCAACGCCACGTTGCACCACAGACTGTCCAGGAGTTTAGTCCAGGTCTGGGAGGAGATCCCTCAGGAGACCATCCGCCACCTCATCAGGAGCATGCCCAGGCGTTGTAGGGAGGTCATACAGGCACGTGGAGGCCACACACACTACTGAGCCTCATTTTGACTTGTTTTAAGGACATTACATCAAAGTTGGATCAGCCTGTAGTGTGGTTTTCCACTTTAAATTTTGAGGGTGACTCCAAATCCAGACCTCCATGGGTTGATACATTTGATTTCCATTGATAATTTGTGTGATTTTGTTGTCAGCACATTCAACTATGTAAAGAAAAAAGTATTTAATAAGATTATTTCATTCATTCAGATCTAGGATGTGTTGTTTAAGTGTTCCCTTTATTTATTTTTAGCAGTGTATAATAATACTATTAGCAAAAATGTTTATTTTCAATTCACAATCTGTAGAAACAATGAGAATAGAAGTGTTCAGAACTTTTGTGAAACAACACAGTACAGTTAAAATATATGGCAAATAGAAATCCAATATGGATGGTGTTAAAAGAAAGATAGATGGGAGGTGTTGAATGGAGCTGAAGGATGGGACTAATAACTAATAACAAGATAACTAATGTAAAGCATACTGTGTCCATAATAAGTATATAGGTTGCAGGTTGAGAGCTTTTGTGAAAGAGCACAGTTAGAAATATATGGCATATAGAAGCAAACCGGATGGACATCATGAAAATGATCGGAGAGGTTGAGGGTAGAGGAAGTTCAGGAGTAAAAACAAACAAAATATAATTATTGTAAAATTGACTGTGTCCATAAAATGTATATAGTATGTATAAGCTGGAATTAGGAGGCCTAAGTGTTGTTGTTCACTAGTTTACTCCAATTAGGGGTGGGGTGGTGGGGTTGGAAAGTAATAAAGGAAAAAAAAAAAAAAAAAAAATTATATATATATATAGAGTGGGGAAAAAAAGTATTTAGTCAGCCACCAATTGTGCAAGTTCTCCCACTTAAAAAGATGAGAGAGGCCTGTAATTTTCATCATAGGTACACGTCAACTATGACAGACAAATTGAGAATTTTTTTTCCAGAAAATCACATTGTAGGATTTTTAATGAATTTATTTGCAAATTATGGTGGAAAATAAGTATTTGGTCACCTACAAACAAGCAAGATTTGGCTCTCACAGACCTGTAACTTCTTCTTTAAGAGGCTCCTCTGTCCTCCACTCGTTACCTGTATTAATGGCACCTGTTTGAACTTGTTATCAATATAAAAGACACCTGTCCACAACCTCAAACAGTCACACTCCAAACTCCACTATGGCCAAGACCAAAGAGCTGTCAAAGGACACCAGAAACAAAATTGTAGACCTGCACCAGGCTAGGAAGACTGAATCTGCAATAGGTAAGCAGCTTGGTTTGAAGAAATCAACTGTGGGAGCAATTATTAGGAAATGGAAGACATACAAGACCACTGATAATCTCCCTCGATCTGGGGCTCCACGCAAGATCTCACCCCGTGGGGTCAAAATGATCACAAGAACGGTGAGCAAAAATCCCAGAACCACACGGGGGGACCTAGTGAATGACCTGCAGAGAGCTGGGACCAAAGTAACAAAGCCTACCATCAGTAACACACTATGCCGCAGGGGACTCAAATCCTGCAGTGAAGACGTGTCCCCCTGCTTAAGCCAGTACATGTCCAGGCCCGTCTGAAGTTTGCTAGAGTGCATTTGGATGATCCAGAAGAGGATTGGGAGAATGTCATATGGTCAGATGAAACCAAAATAGAACTTTTTGGTAAAAACTCAACTCGTCGTGTTTGGAGGACAAAAAATGCTGAGTTGCATCCAAAGAACACCATACCTACTGTGAAGCATGGGGGTGGAAACATCATGCTTTGGGGCTGTTTTTCTGCAAAGGGACCAGGACGACTGATCCGTGTAAAGGAAAGAATGAATGGGGCCATGTATCGTGAGATTTTGAGTGAAAACCTCCTTCCATCAATCAATCAATCAATCAATTTTATTTTATATAGCCCTTCTTACATCAGCTAATATCTCGAAGTGCTGTACAGAAACCCAGCCTAAAACCCCAAACAGCTAGTAATGCAGGTGTAGAAGCACGGTGGCTAGGAAAAACTCCCTAGAAAGGCGAAAACCTAGGAAGAAACCTAGAGAGGAACCAGGCTATGAGGGGTGGCCAGTCCTCTTCTGGCTGTGCCGGGTGGAGATTATAACAGAACCATGCCAAGATGTTCAAAAATGTTCATAAGTGACAAGCATGGTCAAATAATAATCAGGAATAAATCTCAGTTGGCTTTTCATAGCCGATCATTAAGAGTTGAAAACAGCAGGTCTGGGACAGGTAGGGGTTCCATAACCGCAGGCAGAACAGTTGAAACTGGAATAGCAGCAAGGCCAGGCGGACTGGGGACAGCAAGGAGTCACCACGGCCGGTAGTCCCGACGTATGGTCCTAGGGCTCAGGTCTCTCAGTTGGCTTTTCATAGCCGATCATTAAGAGTTGAAAACAGCAGGTCTGGGACAGGTAGGGGTTTCGTAGCCGCAGGCAGAACAGTTGAAACTGGAATAGCAGCAAGGCCAGGCGGACTGGGGACAGCAAGGTGTCATCATGCCCGGTAGTCCTGACGTATGGTCCTAGGGCTCAGGTTCTCAGAGAGAAAGAGAGAACGAGAGAATTAGAGAGAGCATACTTAAATTCACACAGGACACTGGATAAGACAGGAGAAGTACTCCAGGTATAACCAACTAACCCCAGCCCCCCGACACATAAACTACTGCAGCATAAATACTGGAGGCTGAGACAGGAGCGGTCCGGAGACACTGTGGCCCCATCCGAAGAAACCCCCGGACAGGGCCAAACAGGAAGGATATAACCCCACCCACTCCGCCAAAGCACAGCCCCCGCACCACTAGAGGGATATCCCCAACCACCAACTTACAATCCTGAGACAAGGCCGAGTATAGCCCACAGAGGTCTCCACCACAGCACAAACCAAGGGGGGGGCGCCAACCCAGACAGGAAGATCACGTCAGTAACTCAATGGCAAGGGCATTGAAGATGAAACGTGGCTGGGTCTTTCAGCATGACAATGATCCCAAACACACCGCCCGGGCAACGAAGGAGTGGCTTCGTAAGAAGCATTTCAAGGTCCTGGAGTGGCCTAGCCAGTCTCCAGATCTCAACCCCATAGAAAATCTTTGGAGGGAGTTGAAAGTCCGTGTTGCCCAGCGACAGCCCCAAAACATCTCTGCTCTAGAGGAGATCTGCATGGAGGAATGGGCCAAAATACCAGCAACAGTGTGTGAAAACCTTGTGAAGACTTACAGAAAACGTTTGACCTGTGTCATTGCCAACAAAGGGTATATAACAAAGTATTGAGAAACTTTTGTTATTGACCAAATACTTATTTTCCACCATAATTTGCAAATAAATTCATTAAAAATCCTACAATGTGATTTTCTGGATTTTTTTTCCTCATTTTGTCTGTCATAGTTGACGTGTACCTATGATGAAAATGACAGGCCTCTCTCATCTTTTTAAGTGGGAGAACTTGCACAATTGGTGGCTGACTAAATACTTTTTTTCCCCACTGTATATATATATATATATATATATATATATATATATATATATATATATATATATGCGAGGAAAAAACATATGGGGGATTGGAAGTGATGCAGACAATTACATTGATGGAAGTTACAATCTGCAATATTAAAGCCGATCTAACCCCTAAAATAAATGAATAAATAAATAATTATAATGTCTCCTCAGACCAAATTATGCATAGAGAAGAGCAGCATTTCCCCTCCATGATCAGCTCCTTGGTCTGACGTTGAGGGAGAGGTTGTTGTTCCGGCACCACACTGCCAGGTCACTGACCTCCTCCCTGTATGCAGTCTCATCATCGTCAGTGATCTGGCCTACCACCATTGTGTCGTCAGCAAACTCCATGACTGTGTTTGAGTCGTGCGTGGCCATGCAGTCGTGGGTGAACAGGGAGTTCTGGAATACCGTCCAGCCCCGCGAGTGTTGACCTGATTAAAGACCTTACTCACTTTGGCCTCAGAGCAAGAACACCCATTCCTCTGGGTCAGTGGGGGCCGTCACGCACGGTCTTCTTGTCAAAGTTCGTCTGGTAGAGAGGAATCTTTGGGCAGATCACTGTTCAGTCGTCCTTTGTAATCCGTAATGGACTGTAGCCATGCCACATGCGGCAGGTGTCGGAGCCTGTTCATTTGGCCCACGGGGGGCCAGTATAAAAAAAGAAAAACTAACTCACTAACTAAGTCGCTCTGGATAAGAGCGTCTGCTAAATGACTAAAATGTAAATGTAATAGGATTCCACCTTATTCCTATATTGTCCTTTTGCTCGTTTGATGACTCTGCGGAGGGCGTAGTCGGATTTCTTGTACTTGTTCCGGTCTTCAGCCGTAGCCTCGGGGTTGTCTGCGATAGCCTTGTGTGCGGTAGCCCTGTCCTTTAGCGCCAACCTCGGTTAACCCAGGGCTTTTGATTGGGGACGCAGCGAACCTTCACTTGGGACAACGTTGCCGGTGCATTTCCTAATGAAGCCGGTGACAGAGGTGGTTTGCTCGTCAATGTTATCGGCGGAGTCTCGGAACATATTCCAATCAGCGCTAACAAAGCAGTCCTGTAGCATAATGTCTAATTCTAGTGACTATTTCTCAATGCAGCGATTCACGGGTCCTTCCTGTTTGAGCTTCTGCTTGTAAACAGCAAGCAGGAGTACGGAGTCATAATCAGATTTGCCGAATGGGGGACGAGGGAGGGCCTTGTATGCTTGCTTGTGGGTAGAGTAATAGTGGTCTAGGACTTTATCAGCCCCTAGTGGCGCAATTTTTTAAATACAAGAAATACAAATGTGTTTTATTATTAATTATTTTTTTTGGGGTGCGAGTTTTCCTGCTTCTTTATAGCCTCGTATAGTTTATTAAGTGCCAGCTTGTTATTTTTCTTGTCTTGAGGTGGAATGTATACAACAGTCACAATAACAGCTGAAAACTCCCTCGGGGAGGTAGAAGTGGTTGCCATTTGACCATCAGGTATTCCAAGACGGGTCAACAATGGGTCGAGACTTCCACTGCGCTCGAGTCAGCACACCATTTGTTGTTGATGAAGAGGCAAACTCCTCCCCCTCTCCATTTCCCTGACTCCACTGTCCTGTCGGTGAATGGAGAATCCATTGAGTTGTATAGCCATTGGGGGTATCTTGTCCAAAAGCCATGTTTCAGAAAAGCAGAGAATATTGCAGTTACGAGGGTCCCGTTGGTAGCAAATCCGCACCTCGCGGTCATCCATCTTATTATCATGTGACTGTACATTGTCCAATAGAATGGAGGGAAGAGGTGGCTGGTTTTCCCTTTGCCTTAATCTCGCCAGGACTCCCCCTCGCTTGCCTCCAACGCCAGCGTTTCCTCTTGGTTCCCCCGAAAATTGGGTCGGAATTACAGAAAGAGCCCAGGGCAGATTAATTGAAGTTGATGTCGGAATTGAGGTAAGTAACTGCCAATCTGATGTTCAAAAGTTATTATCGGTTATAAGAAATGATAGCAGATATATTGTGAAAAGAAAGTAAAAATAAACGCCAAAAGAATCACAAAATAACAAAGTTGGGTTGGAGCTCGCAAAACGGCGGCCATTCGACCTGAATTTGACCTCTTCTGTGTCTGTACATCCAGCATGTCTGACCAGAAGAGTTGAGTCCTGCTGTGATTACTGTGCATGAATCAGTGTGAAGAGAAAGCTGAACTCACCGCCTTGGCCTGGGAGTGTCCGTGGGCGCCCACTCTCTTCCAGACGTGGGCGGTGGGAGGGGTTCCAGTGGAGCGGACTGAGGCGGGGGAGTCGGAGCAAGAAGGGGTCCCACACAGCTGGGCCCCGGGGTCACCTTTACCCACACTGCTCAGCTGCTCCTGGATACGCACATACACACGTTACTCATACGGAAGCCAACTGTTGTGGGTATTCTCTAAACTAGAAGTGAATGTGAATCCGAGGACGTGATACATTTTCAATGGAAGCCTCTCCATTGCAAAATACTTGAATTGAGATCCCTTGTAGTTCTACATCTTCTCAAAAATAAATATTATCCCTGACAGAGGGGACACAGAACTAGAGCAAGTACGAAGACGTATGCCGAAAGGTGTAGTATGGTCCTAGTCCTTAGTGCAAGTTACTTTGGGGCTCTTACCCTGGTGGTGTCCTGGTGGTCCAGGATGAGCTGGGCCACTCTGTTGATAACCTCATCATAGGACAGGGCGGTCAGGCAGCCTCCGTTGGCTGTGTGTATCTCCCCAATGAACTTGTACAGCACGAGCCTGAAACGACAAACCAGTATTGAATACTACAGCTCTCATACACCCATCATACGGTCTTTGCTATTTGTGTGCGCACGTTACCTGCTATAGTGAGGGAACATGACGCTGAGGCGGTCCATGATTCTCTCGCACACATTGTTGGGTTGTGGGGCCTGTGGCCTGGGAGCCTGGTTCTGAAGGAGAGGCCTCGTGAAATGGCCGGTAGGATCGTTAGCAGTAGCACTAGCTAGAGCTCCAGCCATGCCGGGGGACGGTGCAACACTCTGAGCCATGGCTGGGGCCGGAGGGGCACTGGGCACCCCTGGGTGGCCATAGAGGGGGCCTCTCATGTGCAGCGGGTGGCGAGGGAGCTGCTGGTGAGCCTGTGGTTGGAATAGCATCTGAGAGCGAGGGGGAACCGGTTAGTAAGACATCTTGACAGAAGACGAGATTACGACAGAAATGTTCTGAACCACATTGACAAACTGACCAGGGGCAGATGTATAGCTTGCGGAGATGGAGCTTTGTGTACATATAGAAACTGTGTGTACATATACACTGAACAAAAATATAAACGCAACATGTAAAGTGTTGGTCCCATGTTTCATGAGCTGAAATAAAAGATCCCAGAAAATGTTTGCCCACAAATTTGTTTACATCCCTGTCAGTGAGCCTTTCTCCTTTGACAAGATAATCCTTCCACCTGACAGGTGTGGCATATCAAGAAGCTGATTAAACAGTATGATCATTACACAGGTGCACCTTGTGCTGGAGACAAAAGGCCACTAAAATGTGCAGTTTTGTCACAACACAACGCCACAGATGTCTCAAGTTTTGAGGGAGCGTGCAATTGGCATGCTGACTGCAGGAATGTCCACCAGAGCTGTTGCCAGATAATGTAATGTTAATTTCTCTACTATAAGCGGCCTCTGTTGTTTTAGAGAATTTGGCAGTACGTCTAACCGGCCTCACAAACTCAGACCACATGTATGGCGTTGTGTGGGCAAGCGGTTTGCTGATGTCAACATTGTGAACAGAGTGCCCCATGGTGGCGGTGGGGTTATGGTATGGGCAGGCATAAGCTACGGACAATGAACACAATTGCATTTTATCGATGGCAATTTGAATGCACATTAATACTGTGACGAGATCCTGAGGCCCATTGTGAGGCCCATTTTTTGTAAGGTTTCTTTGACCAACAGATGCATATCTGTATTCCTAGTCATGTGAAATCCATAGATTAGGGCCTAATTTATTTATTTAAATTGACTAATTTCCTCATATGAACTGTAACTCAGTAAAATATTTGCATGTTGCATTTATATTTTTGTTCAGTATAGCCACTGAATGTTTGCGCTGTTCCTAGCTACCTGCTCTGGCCCCAGGGGCCCTCTGATGGGGAAGCGGAGCCCCAGCACCTGTCCTGTCTGCAGTGTGAAGCCTGCGCTGTATCTCAAGCCTGGCGCCACTAGGGGAACGCCCAGGCCGATGGCGGGGACAGAGGAGAGGACTGGGTAGGCGACAGGGGGGAGGCCGGGGTATGGGAGACAGAGGGGGAGGGGGACCAGAGACGGGGTTGGGTCTACCTCTGGGACTGAGTGGATCTGGGAGAAACAGAGGGGGTCACACCACACACAGGCCTCACTCATCTGACAAACTGCTTCAAGGTATAGGCTGAGAATAGCCAAAGACTGTTTCAAAGCAAGTCGCTAGGCATTTATAGTCAAAATAGCTCTTACAATTCAGACTTTTACTAAACCCCAAGACATAATAGAGATAACTAACATGCTGTTTTTGTCAGAATGGACAACAAAATAAAGACATCAGCAAATGTAAACCTTTGCTAAACTTAAAGTAGGCCCAGTTGTGCTGCATCTTACTGGTACAGGTGGGGGCCGCGGGGGGCTGGGGACAGCCACTGGGGGCAGAGTACACAGCCTGGTCCCCCTCTTCACCTGCTCCATATGATCCTGGTACTGCACCTGTGGAGGACAACAAAGCTGTCACACACACCTGGACCAGCACTCACATAATCCTTTCCAATTTATATTCCAAGGTGTATTGTAATAGTTGAATCTGTGTGTTAGTTTTTTTTATTTAAATTATTTACCTCAGTTGCACAGACTTTCTCTTCCGCTTCTTGAACACATGCTCCCCAGGCATATGTGGCTGACTGCAGAATTTGGGAAGGGAATCTGTTGGGGGGGCAGGGGGGGAGGCTGTGAAACGGACCTTGAACCAACAACAGGCCCTTCGTCTCTACTGAAGTCAGTGTAGCGCTAAGGAACTGTTAAACTGGTTCTGGAGACAACATACAACTGTGTGTACAGGGCCTCAGTCTAGCCTGTGGTTAATGTAACCAACACCTACCTGAGTGCCACTTCCTTGAGCTTGGCAAGGATGGCCCTGGCTTCAGACAGAGACCTGTAGAGGCAGCGCAGGTCAATGCCACGCCGGTTCTCTAATATAGACAGCTAGGGAAAATTAAGTAAATCGGTTAGGAAAGAAGGTTCCAGCTCTAATGGTATGAGAAACTTAATCTTACTTCCCACGCAAATGGACACCTCTGCATAAGAATTGAGGAACATGCAGGTATCTCCACATTCAACCCACACACAGACATACCTCTGCTCCCTGAGACCTCCTGGTTGCCTTAGCACATAGGTCTCTGTACCTCTTGATCTCATCCTCCAGGCTCATCTTCTCAGCAGCTGATTGGTTACTGTGGGAAAGAATCACTGCACATTTAGCACACCAGCAGCACAACACTCAGAAGAGTTGGAGACATGTTAACCTAAATGCCACTCATTAGGACGCATGTCAAACCACTGCCGTGTGTTTAGAAACATGTAATAACTTACCTCAGTTCCAGGACATTATTCAGGTGTGTCTCATAGTCCTTGTTCCTCTCACGGATGCTCTTAGAAATGCTGTGGATGGAAAACAAAATTAACAAAAAACGAAAATCAAAGTTTGATCATGTTACAGGTCCCTTTGATGTTCACCCATGGTTCACCCATGTTGCCCATTTGGATATCCACAGGGCAGGGGTAGACTGCCTCGGCCATACCTCTCCTGTGACTCCGCCAGCTCCTTTATCTCAGTCTTTAAGGCCTTCACGGTCTCCTGGTTCTCTTTCTTCTCCTGTTGGTCCTTCTTCACCTCCTCCTCCAGCTTCTGCTGGAACAGGCCCAGCTCTATATGGGTGACCTGGAACACAAAACACACCATCAGTCGCCAGGCAAAGCATCATGGAGGAGCTCATCTGCCCACACTAAAACAGCACATTGTTTCAACAGCCCTCTTCCAGACAGAAGTAGGGTGAAGTGTTGCCCATAGACACTGATCTTGGGTCAGTTTTGCATTTCCCCACTAATGGTTAAGGTTAGGATTGGGGAAGCTGATCCTAGATCTGTACTTAGGGAAACTTAGCCCTGGAACCTTCCAGACACCAGTATGGGTATGGAGAGATTTCAGTGCCAGCAGAAAATGTACTTGAATTCCACAATTTTGAATTTCTATTAGGATATTGAATTTAAATGTAATATTGTTTTATTTGAAATACAAAATTGAATCATTGAATTCATAAATTGAATTTGTATTTCATGATTTGAAACTGACTTTAAAGAATATTGCATTCAGTTTTCAAATTTCATTGAATATTCAAGTTAAATATTTATTTATTTATTCAGTTTCAATATGGTAGATATTGCATTCATTTTGTATCAAGTTTCCAAACGATCAAAGTTTCATATACACTATGTATACAAAAGTATGTGGACACCCCTTCAAATTAGTGGAGTCATCATTTCAGACACACCCGTTGCTGACAGGCGTATAACATTTGAGCACACAGCCATGCAATCTCCATAGACAAACATTGGCAGTAGAATGGCCTTACTGAAGAGCTCAGTGACTTTCAACGTGGCATCGTCATAGGATGCCACCTTTCCAACAAGTCAGTTCGTCAAATTTCTGCCCTGGTCAACTGTAAGTGCTGTTATTGTGAAGTGGAAAGGTCTAGGAACAACAACGGCTCAGCCGCAAAGTGGTAGGCCACACAAGCTCACAGAACAGGACCGTTGAGTGCTGAAGCATGTAAAAATCGTCTGTCCTCGGTTGCTACTAAGGCTGTTGCATGACCATATTACCGCCACACCGGGGGTTCATGAGTCATGAAGGCAGTCAAATTCCACATGACCGTTTAGTCATGGTAATTAGGCTTCTCCAAGCTCTGATGCTGCTGATGGTCATTAGTAGCCTACCAAACTTGCTAACTTCCTGGTACTCAGCACTCTATTGTTCCTATAAATCACTGACATCAATGCAAATGTAATCTAAATCAAAACACATGAGAGCCCATGAGCTCATGTTGTGCAACATTTCAAGAGCCTATACAATTGTGTGAGAAAACAGAGTGATGGGCTCTACTACAAGAGGAGGGTCAGCTTTCAATAGGCTAGGCCTACTATATTTATTTCTCAACTTTCCTAATATTAAGCACATTGGTTATCTTTACAACAGGAGTATAGCCTCCTGGATAGCATGAAAAAACAAACAAGAATTGAACCCTGTGGCACCCCCATAGGTCCAGACAACAGGCCCTCCGATTTGACACATTGAACTCTATCTGAGAAGTAGTTGGTGACACAGGCGAGAAGTCATTTTGAGAAACCAAGTCTATGTAGTCGCCAATAAGGAAGGCGGTGGGTGTGACAGAGTCGAGGTCGGGGGTCGAGGTCGGGGCATGGACAAGTTGCAGCGCGGAGGGTGCAAGATCTGGTGGCCGGGGTAGTTGGTAGCCAGGTGGAAAGCATGGCCAGCCGTAGCAAAATGCTTGTTGAAATTCTCGATTATTGTAGATTTATTGGTGGTGATAGTGTTTCCTAGCCTCAGTGCAGTGGGCAGCTGGGAGGAAGTGCTCTTATTCTCCATGGACTTTACAGTGTCCCAAAACTATTTGGAGTTAGTGCTACAGGATGCACATTTCTGTTTGAAAAAGTTAGCCTTTGCTTTCCTAACTGCTTGTGTATATTGGTTCCTAACTTCCCTGAAAAGTTGCATATCGCGGGGGCTATTTGATGCTAATGTAGTACGCCACAGGATGTTTTTGTGCTGGTCAAGGGCAGTCAAGTCTGAGGAGAACCAGGGGCTATATCTGTTCTTAGTTCTGTATTTTTTGAATGGGGCATGTTTATTTAAGATTGAGAGGAAATTACTTTTAAAGAACAACCAGGCATCCTCTACTGACGGAATGAGATCTATATCCATCCAGGATACCTGGGCCAGGTCAATTAGGAAGGCCTGCTCGCTAAAAAGTGTTTTAGGGAGCGTTTGACAGTGATGAGGGGTGGTCGTTTGACCGCGGACCCGTTATGGACGCAGGCAATAAGGCAGTGATCGCTGAGATCCTGGTTGAAGACAGCGGAGGTGTATTTAGAGGGTAAGTTAGTCAGGATGATATCTATGAGGGTACCCATGTTTACGGATTTAGGGTTGTACCTGGTAGGTTCCTTGATCATTTGTGTGAGATTGAGGGCATCTAGTTTGGATTGTAGGATGGCCGGGGTGTTAAGCATATCCCAATTTAGGTCACCAAGCAGTACGAACTCTGAGGATAAATGGGGGGCAATCAATTCACATATGGTGTCCAGGGCACAGCTGGGGGCTGAGGGGGGTCTGTAGCAAGCGGCAACAGTGAGAGACTTATTTCTGGAAAGGTGGATTTTTAGAAGTAGGAGCTCAAACTGTTTGGGCACAGACCTGGATAGTATGATAGAGCTCTGCAGGCTATCTCTACAGTAGATTGCAACTCCACCCCCTTTGGCAGTTCTCTCTAGGCAGAAAATGTTGTAGTTGGGGATGGAAATTTCAGAATTTTTGGTGGCCTTCCTAAGCCAGGATTCAGACACTGCTAGAACATCAGGGTTGGCGGAGTGTGCTAACTCAGTGAATAACTCAAACCTAGGAAGGAGGCTTCTGATATTAACGTGCAGAAAACCAAGGCTTTTACGGTTACAGAAGTCAACAAATGATAGCTCCTGGGGAGTAGGAGTGATACTGGAGGCTGCAGGGCCTGGGTTAGCCTCTACATCACCAGAGGAACAGAGGAGGACTAGAAAAAGGATACGGCTAAAGGCTTTAAGAACTGGTCTTCTAGTGCGTTGGGTACAGAGAATAAAGGGGGCAGATTTCCGGGTGTTGTAGAAAAGATTCAGGGCATTATGTACAGACAAGGATATGGAAGGATATGAGTACAGTGGAGGTAAACCTAAGCGTTGGGTAACAATGAAAGAGATAGCATCACTGGAGGCACCGATTTGAGCCGGTCTCGGCGTGTATGGGGGGTGGAACAAAGGAACTATTTGAGGCAGTTTGAGAGGGACTTGGGGTTCTACAGTGAAATAGTACAATAAGAACTAACCCATACAGCAATAGGCTAGGCATATTGACATGGGAGAGAGGCATAACGCAATCACAGGTGTTATTAGAGAGAGCTAAGACAACAACTGGTAATGGCGATAAAGTTTGGGCTGAGGCTAAACAGAATAAACAGGACAGGGTACCGTGTAAAGGAACAGTCCAGCAGGCATCAGCTGTGCAGCTGGGTGATCATAAGGTCCAGTGAACAGCAATATATGAGTCCGAGAGCAGTTCAAATTGGTGCTTCAGCACAGCGAGCAGGAAGCACGGTTGTAGTTTGTGTGTGCTAGCGGGCCGGGGCTAGCAGATGGATCTTCGTGGTCGTCGCAACGGGAAGCCTGTTGAAACCACAGACGATTACGTCGGCAGACCAGTCGTGATGGATCGGCAGGGCTCCGTGTCGACTCTAGGAGGTCCCGTCCGGTTGACAGAGCGGTAGATAGCCGGGAGATGTGCCTGACTCAAGGCTGATTAGCCAACAACAACGTTCATTTGGTTGCAGCTAGCTAGTTGCGATTATCCAGTGATTCAGTGATTCCGGATGAAAATCGGATAGGTTCTGGGTCGATAACTCGCTGTGCAGACAGTGCAGACTGGCCGATAATAGTCCAGGCTAGAGCTGGCTGGTAGGTAGTGCAGGCCACGGACAATGGAGAAAAGCCGCTAACGGTGGCTAATAGCAAGTAGCTAGTTAGCTGGTTAGCTGGCTACTCCCGTCCGGTAGACAGAGAGGTAGATAGCCGGGGCTAGCTCAAGGCTCAAGGCTAACTGGTGTTACGGGGGCAGTGGTGATTAGCCTACAGCAACATCCATTCGACATCCATTCGGTTGCGGCTAGCTAGATCCGGTGTTATGGTCCAGTGATTCAGTTATTCCGGCAGAAAATCCGATGTTCTGGGTGAAAACCGCTAAACGGCGGCTAATAGCAAGTAGCTAGTTAGCTGGCTGGCTAGTTTCAACTGGAGATTCTAGATAAAGGTGAGTAAATAATAGAATCCATTCTGCATTGAGTGAGGCGGGTTGCAGGAAAGTATATTTAGTAGAAGGATGAAAAGTGTGATAGGGAAATATATACGTAAAATACAAAAAACTGGCTATTTACATGGACACACAAGAGAACACGACCGCACTGCTACGCTATCTTGGAGTATCTAAGAGGAAGATTATCTTCCTCAAACTTGAAACTCACGTGCTGCTTATGTATGCCAGTTAGGCTCTACACCGCTTTGTAAAGCGGATTAATGTGCTTAATTTTATGAAGTTATTTGGCCACTTTAGTTGATACAAACTCACTGACACCGCATTCTTATTGGCAGACTAAATAGCCTTGGTTTCTCAAATGACTGCCTCGCCTGTTTCACCAACTACTTCTCAGATATAGTTCAATGTGTCAAATCGGAGGGCCTGTTGTCTGGACCTATGACAGTCTATGGGGGTGCCACAGGGTTCAATTCTTGGGCCGACTCCTTTCTCTGTGTATATCAATGATGTCGCTCTTGCTGCTGGTGACTCTCAGATCCACCTCTACGCAGACGACACCATTTTGTATACATCTGGCCCTTCATTGGACACTGTGTTAACAAACCTCCAAACGAGCTTCAATGCCATTCAACACTCCTTCAGTAGCCTCCAACTGCTCTTAAAACACTCGTAAAACTAAATGCATGCTCTTCAATCAAACGCTGCTGGCACCCGCCCACCCGACTAGAATCACCACTCTCGACAGGTCTGACCTGGAGTATGTGGACAACTACAAATACCTAGGTGTCTGGTTAGACTAAACTCTCCTTCCAGACTCACATTAAGAATCTCCAATCCAAAGTTAAATCTAGAATCGGCTTCCTATTTCGCAACAAAGCCTCCTTCACTCATGCTTCCAAACATGCCCTCGTAAAACTGACTATCCTACCGATCCTTGACTTCGGCGATGTCATTTACAAAATAGCCTCCAACACTCTACTCAGCAAATTGGATGTAGTCTGTCACCAAAGCCCCATATACTACCCACCACTGTGACCTGTACGCTCTTGTTGGCTGGTCCTCACTACATTCTCGTCGCCAAACCCACTGGCTCCAGGCCATCTATAAATCACTGCTAGGCAAATCCCCGCCTTATCTTCGCTCATTGGTCACCATAGCAACACCCACCCGTAGTTTGCGCTCCGCCAGGTATATCTCACTGGTCATCCCCAAAGCCAACACCTCCTTTGGCTGCCATTCCTTCCAGTTCTCTGCTGCCAGTGACTGGAACGAACTGCAAAAATCTCTGAAGCTGGAGACTCATCTCCCTCACTAACTTTAAGCATCAGTTGTCAGAGCACCTTACCGATCACTGCACCTGTACACAGCCCATCTGAAATTAGCCCACCCAACTACCTCATCCCCATATTGTTATTTATTTTGCTCATTTGCACCCCAGTATCTCTATTTGCACATCATCTCTTGCACATCTATCATTCCAGTGTTAATACTAATTGTAATTATTTTGCACTATAGCCTATTTATTGCCTTACCTCCATAACTTGCTACATTTGCACACACTGTATATATATATTTTCTGTTGTATTTTTGACTTTGTTTTGTTTTACCCCATATGTAACTCTGTTGTTTTTAAATCGCACTGCTTTGCTTTATCTTGGCCAGGTCGCAGTTGTAAATGAGAACTTGTTCTCAACTGGCTTACCTGGTTAAATAAAGGTGAAATAAATAAATAAAATCTTCACCATAAAAATGCACCTTTATAATAAAAGCATTACATGCATAATTGCATTCGCGGTCACTTTTGATAAATGGTGTTTTCCGCTAATGGAATATTCGCGCTTATAGCCTACTGCCATGTGAGCATTGCTGCGCTTATAATGTGAAGAAATAGCCTAATAGTTTATCAACATTTTAAGCTAAAATGTTCTGATCTGTTGCGTCAGCCACATTGCGTAAAAACATTTTTTTTGATGCTAGTGGTTGTATTAATTTGGGATCTGTCGCATCCCACAACTGTCCCAGACTATGTTTGGAATATTTATTTCTCGCACAGAATAGGTCGACCTTTGTACTATGGGGCATAGTAGATTGACATAGGCTAGTGCTTTTGCTGTTTGTTTGGCCTACTCATTTTGTTGGCTGATGAAAAGTAAATGTGGACAGTTCTTCAAATATCTTCAATATGCCCCTCGGAATTGGATAAGGACGTGCGCAGTTGCGTCCCAGGTGTGTCTGTCGTCACTTGTAGCTTGTGAGAATGACCCGATCACATGATGTAGCGCGTAGCACTTAGAGAGAAGGGTACAACAGCCACTGGCCGCAAACGGCATATATTTTTTTAGGGTGCGTTAAGGCCACACAAAGGGGATGCCGCCGTGAAATTCTAGGCATTATCAAGTGCTTGTCAAATTGTGAATGACTCACTGATGTAGTGTGTACAGCCTGCACAAAAAACTAAGCAGAGCTCATGCCTTTCAAGCAACTTTTTTCAAATCATTAGTCACATCATGCAGCCTTACAATGTATAAAAAATCGAAACATATTGCCCAACGTTTGTACAACTAAAGTTACATTAACAACTCTAAATTAAGCATATAGGAATACCTATTTCTTTGTTAAACGCTCAACATAGAACAGCCGCAAGTGCGCATTCCCCTCAAATTGTTTGGAGCTTTGTTCAATTGTATTCTTCATACTATAAAATATTGCCACGGAATTCTAAGCAAATCTTGTCTGCTAAATGAACTTGTGTAGCCCACAGCCATTTAGCATAGCCATATCAGGACAACTCAAGAGTATGCTATTCTGTTCTTCTGAAATATACATTTGTCACGATTATTTAGACCGGTCTAAAATACAGTGAGGGAAAAAAGTATTTGATCCCCTGCTTATTTTGTACGTTTGCCCACTGACAAAGAAATGATCAGTCTGGCTCCCATGTGTCTTTTATACAGGTAACAAACTGAGATTAGGAGCACACTCTTAAAGGGAGTGCTCCTAATCTCAGCTTGTTACCTGTATAAAAAGACACCTGTCCACAGAAGCAATCAATCAGAGTTCTCCAAGGATGTCAGGGACAAGATTGTAGACCTACACAAGGCTGGAATGGGCTACAAGACCATCGCCAAGCAGCTTGGTGAGAAGGTGACAACAGTTGGTGCGATTATTCGCAAATGGAAGAAAAACAAAAGAACTGTCAATCTCCCTCGGCCTGGGGCTCCATGCAAGATCTCACCTCGTGGAGTTGCAATGATCATGAGAACGGTGAGGAATCAGCCCAGAACTACACAGGAGGATCTTGTCAATGATCTCAAGGCAGCTGGGACCATAGTCACCAAGAAAACAATTGGTAACACACTACACAGTGAAGGACTGAAATCCTGCAGCGCCCGCAAAGTCCCCCTGCTCAAGAAAGCACATATACAGGGCCGTCTGAAGTTTGCCAATGAACATCTGAATGATTCAGAGGAGAACTGGGTGAAAGTGCTGTGGTCAGATGAGACCAAAATCGAGCACTTTGGCATCAACTCAACTCGCTGTGTTTGGAGGAGGAGGAATGCTGGACAACTTCACCGCATCAAAGGGACGATGGATGGGGCCATGTACCATCAAATCTTGGGTGAGAACCTCCTTCCCTCAGCCAGGGCATTGAAAATGGGTCGTGGATGGGTATTCCAGCATGACAATGACCCAAAACACACGGCCAAGGCAACAAAGGAGTGGCTCAAGAAGAAGCACATTAAGGTCCTGGAGTGGCCTAGCCAGTCTCCAGACCTTAATCCCATAGAAAATCTGTGGAGGGAGCTGAAGGTTCGAGTTGCCAAACGTCAGCCTCGAAACCTTAATGACTTGGAAAGATCTGCAAAGAGGAGTGGAACAAATCCCTCCTGAGATGTGTGCAAACCTGGTGGCCAACTACAGGAAACATCTGACCTCTGTGATTGCCAACAAGGGTTTTGCCACCAAGTACTAAGTCATGTTTTGCAGAGGGGGTCAAATACTTATTTCCCTAATTAAAATGCAAATCAATTTATAACATTTTTGACATGCGTTTTTCTGGATTTTTGTTGTTGTTATTCGGTCTCTCACTGTTCAAATAAACCTACCATTAAAATTATAGACTGATCATGTCTTTGTCAGTGGGCAAACGTACAAAATCAGCAGGGGATCAAATACTTTTTTCCCTCACTGTAAATAATGGATTTATTGTGAAGGTGTAGGCTATATTACATTATTTATTAGACTTGATCAAATGTAGATGTTCCAAAAGGTCTGCATCAGTGGCTTGTAGGCTGTGTGTGGAAGCCAGGATATGCTAAATGTGTTTGTTAATTAATGGTCAATTACTATGAGACCTACAGTTATTTGCTTGACAATCAACGGATGACGAAATTTCGTGACCGCCACAGCCCTAGTTGCAACACTCACTACAGAGTTCCAAACAGTCTCTGGAACATCAGCACAATAAATGTTCGTCGGGAGCGTCATGAAATGGGTTTCCATGGCAGAGCAGCTGCGCACAAGCCTAAGATCACTATGCGCAATATCAAGCGTCGGCTGGAGTGGTGTAAATCTCGCCGCCATTGGACTATGGAGCAGTAGAAACGTGTTCTCTGGAGTGATGAATCATGCTTCACCATCTGGCAGTCCGAAGGACGAATCTGGGTGCAGGCGGATGCCAGGAGAATGCTACCTGCCCCAATGCATAGTGCCAACTGTAAAGTATGGTGGAGGAGGAATAATGGTCTGGGACTGTTTTTGGGCTAGGCCCCTTAGTTCCAGTGAAGGGAAATCTTAACGCTACAGCATACAATTACATTCTAGATGATTCTGTGCTTCCAACTTTGTGGCAACAGTTTGGGGAAGGCCCTTTCCTGTTTCAGCATGACAATGCCCCCGTACACAAAGCGAGGTCCATACAGAAATAGTTTGTCGAGATCGGTGTGGAAGATCTTGACTGGCTGCACAGAGCCCTGACCTCAACCCCACCGAACACCTTTGGGATGAATTAGAACACCGACTGCGAGCCAGGCCTAATCGCCCAACATCAGTGCTCGACCTCACTAATGCTCGTGGCTGAATGGAAGCAAATACAATTATGGTCTAAGGCACTGCATCGCAGTGTTAGCTGTGCTACTAGAGATCCTGGTTCGAATCCAGGCTCTGTCGTAGCCGGCCGCGACCGGGAGACCCATGGGGCGGCGCACAATTGGCCCAGCGTCATCCAGGGTAGGGGATGGAATGGCCGGGAGGGATGTAGCTCAGTTGGTAGAGCATGGCGTTTGCAACGCCAGGGTTGTGGGTTCGATTCCCACCGGGGACCAGTATGAAACTTTTGTTTGTATACACTCACTAACTGTAAGTCGCTCTGGATAAGAGCGTCTGCTAAATGACTAAAATGTAAATGTATTTGTCACATGCGCCGAATACAACAGGTGTAGACCTTACCGTGAAATGCTTACTTACAAGCCCTTAACCAACAATGCAGTTCAAGAAATAGAGATATTTACTAAATAAACTAAAGTAAAAAATAAAACAATAATGAGGCTATATACAGGGGGTACCAGTTGGTCGAGGTAAATTTGTACATGTAGGTAGGGGTAAAGTGACTATGCATAGATAATAAACAGCGAGTAGCAGCGGGGGGGGGGGGGGGGGAATCAATGTAAATAGTCCGGGTGGCCATTTTATCTTTTCAACATCTAGTGGACAGCCTTCCCAAAAGAGAGGAGGCTGTTATAGCAGCAAAGGAATGAGATGTTGGACAAGCAGGTGTCCACATACTTGGTCATGTAGTGTATATTCAACTTCTCAGATGCATTCAGATTTCGTTTTCAAATTCAGTTCTCTAAATTCAGATTCAAAACCAAGAGACAACATCTTGGTTCTTTGCCAGCCAGGAAAGGTAGAGGAGAACAGATAGCATCAAATGCTCACTGTGGTAAATAGAAACTTCTGGTGGTTTCTGAAGCCAATGTGGCATGTTAAATGTATTTTCTTCCAATGAATTTGGCTCTAGCATTTGAACCGTTTTGGCTATGATCTATTGTGACATCATTCCTGAAAGCTAAGACTCTCTGGAGCATGGACATGCTGTCTGATCCCCTCTGATGATCACAGGCTGCGTTATAAGGGAGTGTAAAAAAATATATGTTTTTGCCCCCATAAGAATATAGTTTAAATACAATGCAAGTTTACTTTCAATCCGTCTATCTGCATATTTCAAGAAATGGCATATGAGGGTGCGGTGAAATACCCAATGGACCATACTTTTCTCGTCAATTACTTTGAAAAAACATTTATATCAAAAATGGAAAACAAATGATACTCCATCACTACGACAGTAGATGAATCAAATTTATTATTTAAATATTTAAAAGGTGTGGGCTACAGAGAAAAATAGAACAGTGCAATTTGACACCATATGGCATAGAGTGCTACAAGCACTGTAAAGTTCCAGGCGATGAAGGAGAGTGTGGTTATGAGACATACGTGATATGTATGGCTGCGGTGGGAACATGTGGGTCTGAGCAAACATTGATGTTTGTTGAAATTTGTGTGCATCTGTCTTTTGTTTCTGTATGGTTGTTTGAAAATAAACACCATACCACTCCCTATTTAATCTTGCTATTGTGATTAACTGGGTTCAAACCAGGTCTCCTGCATGTACAAGACTGTTAGCCCACTTAGCTAAAGCCTATAGAGGTATGTTCAGGAAGTTCATGTAAAGGACGACACGCTGCTTGCTTAACGAGTACCACAATTGATTCAGCACATATGGAGACTCAAACTGAGGACTTCTGCCTCAAAACACACATATGCATTCTGTGGAAGAGGAACATTTAATTTATTATCTTAAATTAGAACTCCCTTCTAACGCAGCCTGTGATCATCATAGATGGGAACAGAAAGCACATCCATGCTCCAGTCTCTTAGCTTTCAGGATAGCTTACAGCCATAGCGGTTCAAACACTAGAGCTAAATTCATAGGAAGAAAATAAATTAAACATGCCACAATGGCTTCAGAAAAGTCTGTTTACCACAGAGAGCATTTGAGTCTCTGTTCTTCTCTACCTTTGCTGGCTGGCAAAGTACCAGGATGTTGTCTCTGGTTCTGAATTTAGAGAACAGAACTTAAACTAAATCTGAATGCATCTGAGAAGTTGAATATGAAACTTTGAAATTATAGTTTGTAAACTTGATACACAAGACAATGAATGCAATATCTACCATATTAATATATACATATTTAACTTGAATATTCAATTACATTTAAATTGAATTTTGAAAAACTGAATGCAATATTCATTCAATTCAGTTTCAAATCATGAAATACAAGTTCAATTTATTAATTCAATTACTCAATTTGTGCATTAAACATTCAAAAATATGAAATTCAAATTCAATATCCTAATACAAATAAAAAAAGGATAGAATTAAAATACAATTTCTGCTGGCACTGAAATCGCTCCATATATGAGAGTACTCCTCCCTACCTGTATTAAATGGTTGATTTCCTCTAGCTCTCCTTCTAGGGCAGAGATCTCCTTTAGGCGTCTTTGCTTCACAGAGTCGTAGTCCTGCTTTATTTGCTGGATCTGCTGCTCAAACTCTGCATTACTCTTCTCTTTCTTGGACAGGTCTCCCTGGAACGTGGAAACATGCATAATTTAAAAAGGTCAATTTGATCAAGCACAATACTATACTAGGTGCAAAGGTATAGGCTTATTAGGGAAGGGAAAGGGGATACCTAGTCAGTTGCACAACAACGCATTGAACCGAAATGTGTCTTCCGCACTTAACCCAACCCCTCTGAATCAGAGGCTTATTAGGTAGGCTTTTATTAGCCTTAAGGCGTCCACATGCTTCCCAGCCGAAACAGTTTGGTAGAGTTTGTGCTTACATAATGACATTTTGTGACGTTTGTTTTGGACTTTAGTGAGGGTTCTCTCGGCTGTTCGGGCACACTATTTTTTCTGGAGGCAAGATTAAGTTTGGAGCCGAAGTCTACGCCCCTTCGTTGGTGATTGGTCAACAGTAGGGATTCAATGAGACCACTTGTTTTCATGTATTTTTTCATCGAAAAATACTGCACCAAACATCTTAGTTAGCTGTAAAATTGCGCGACTAAGATCTCTTCGGCAAAAACGTCAAAATGAATGAGATTTTGAGGAAGTGTATACTGGCTACGGCGTGTGTCAAAATGGACAAACAGTACTATTGCCGATTTTGTTTCTTGTTTTTTCAAATGAAGGTCTTTTAAGGGAGTATGTGAGCACACTCGTTCGGTGTGGTCTAACCGAATTCGGCTAGGCGCTAGCCGAACTGAAGCACTTTAACGCCTTTAGGCTTCGATATGCTTATTAGAGTGTTGGGCGAGTAACCCAATGTCTCTGGTTTGAATCCCTGAGCAGACTAGGTGATAAATCTGTCCATGTGCTTTTGAGCAAGGCACTTAACCCTAATTGCTCCTGTAGGTCACTCTGGATAAAAGCATCTGCTAAATGACTTAAATGTAGGTATTTTAAAAAACTCACATTATTCCCTTCAAAAGGCTCTGTGTTAACAGCCACTTCACTCAAGGCGACACAAGTTGATACCTACAGAAAGAACAAACATGAGACATTACATTGGCAGCCCAATTCTGATATTTTTTCCACCAATTGGTCTTTAACCTGTCACAGATCTTTTCACATCAGATCTTCTGACCAATTAGTGAACAAAAGATCAGAATTGGGCTACATGTGTAAACGCAGCCACTTGGTCTTGTGATCATAGAAACTTTCAAATTGAATGAGGACAATTCCCCACCTGTACTTCTGCTGCAGTCTTTCCAGGTGCCTCGACTCCCTTTTCCTCTACATCTCTAATATAAAGGTCAAGATCCTCAAGGTTATTTGGATCATGGTTATCATATGACTTGTCCAATGGAGTTCCAATGGCCAGGTTAGGCCACACAGGGATAATAGCAATAGGCTCATCATAATCCCTAGTTCCAGAATCTTGGGAGTTTGGGAGAAACGCCATAGCAGAAGGGTTTAGGGAGAGTCTGTTGGGGATATCCCCTATGAAGTCCAGATTGTCCATTCTGTGAGTGTTGGCATCCTGCAGTGACACGGCGTGTTTCATAAGGCCCAGGAGGTTGTCAGTCATGACGAAGCGCAGCGATTCGAGGAGGAAAGGCTTCAGGCCACCGGCCTCCTGGATCTTTTGCTGGGCGTCGGGAGGGAAGTTGTCCAGCTCGCCCACCAGCAGGGGGTCCTGGGCCTTCAGGGGACCGTACTCCTCCAGGATCTGGGCAAAGTAGCTGGGAGGAAAGATGCAGACATGCAGGTTAGAGGAGCCAGAGGCCATACACACAGGACAAATATGGATCAGCATGACATCTGAATATACAATGAAAACACAATACTTCAGGTCAATTGCTTGGACTTTGAGTCCTCATGAGTCATGATAAAAGTTATAACACACACACATTTTTAGCAGACTAAGACCCTGTTGTCCAATTCCCAAAGGAGAAACACTTGTACAAACTTACTCATACAAACTCTCCTTAGTCAGGTCAGGGTTGTTGTCCAATATTCTCTTGTAGTGGCTACTGCGGCTGCCATTGTTGTACTGTCCCTCAAACTCTGTCACCTGATCACGAAGATGACTGGGAACGCTGAATGGGTCACTGGGGTCAAGAAACATTCTGCCGAAATAAATTATGACCTGGTGAGAACAAGCTGGGGGTTGTCAATGGACAGATTTAACGATGATTGTGTTCTACTGATTAGACAACTTACAAAGAGTCCTCCTCTAAAAAATCCTCGTCCTCATCCTCTCTTGAGGTACCACCTCTCATTCCCGACAGGACAATAACCGACTGAGAAAAATAAAATAATTAGATTGATGTCCAGAAGACACACAATTGCCTCTCTTTCTTTAGGTTTAAGTCATAATGCTCACCGCCTTTGGCTCCTTCTGCTTCTTTTTGCGATTTCTGTTCTTAGTCTTAATAGGGTATTTCTGAAATAAAATGAGTGAAGTTTGATGATTGGTCAAAGTTAAAATCAATATGCCTTGGTTCAAATGCAACACCAACAGACAAAAAGTTTGCTTCAGTGTGGCATCCAACAATCAATACTTACAATTGTATTTTCATTCTCTGTCTTTTTAATCACTAAACAAGGCCCATCTGAAAGAACAGTAAAGTTAAGACAACTGGAAACAGGAACCAAAGCACAACAGCAGCACAACATATTCCAATTTTAGCCTCAAGGGGACTTTTCCCCTGTTAAGGAGGGTGCGTGGGGGTCTAACCGCTTACCCATTATTTCAAAATAGTCATCCAACGCAGCATGGCAGGAGGCGTACTGGTCTCTGTGCTCCTCCAAAGTCCAGATAAACAGCCTCATCTCCTGGGGAGGGGCCTGCTTTAGGTACTCCGTTACAGTCAGGCCAAGACGGCTAAAAAACTCAGGCATGGTCCCAAACTTCTCTATGAGCATGTCCTGCAGGGGGGCAAAATGTAGCAAAGGAGCTAGGTCCAGCTGCTCCAGGTGGTCTGCATAACGGTCAATGAACAGTCCAGCTGCATTCAGACCTGTGAAGTACATCAGGGGAGGAAAAGGGAAATTAGCCAAGATGGCACAAAGCATAAAGTCATGCCGATTTGTGTTGCTGCAGAGTACTTGAATAGAACCAGTAATCTAGTTGTGAGGGTACACAAGTATGCAGCTGGGAGGTTAGCATTGCTCTTCAATACACAAGTTGAAGTCCTGATTACCAGGAGAAAATGTAATGTGTGCTGACCTGAGCTGTCCAGTTGGTGGGCCCAGTCGTGCAGCTTGGGGCTGGTGTCCAGGCAGCCGCTCAGGCTGTGGATAAAGATGCGGGCCCACACCCGGTTCTTCCTTTCCAGGAGGAGCTCCACCACATCCCCCAGCGTCTCCGGCTGCCTCCCAGCATACGACATGCCCAGTTCGCTTCCCTTGATCCGGTCCATGTCCATCCATGGCTTAAGGTTCTTCATCAACACAGAGATGTTGTGGCTCTTGTCCCTGAACAGATCCTTGCTATCGCTGATCTGAAGCAGAACACGGTCCCCGTAAGACAGCCAGGTGGGGGATGAAGCTGGAGAAGGGTGTTAAACAGTTAGGAATTGAGGATACTGTGACAGAGAAGCTGGTATGTGGTCAGAACAGAGTTTGGAATGTAACAGTGATGTGGATTGCATCATGCATTTAGTAGTCACACCTTCACATTCTTTAAGGGTGAAGTCAGTGAAACTGGTTCCTTTGGAAAGGAGAATGTACATCTGGTGGACTATAATAAATGTAAGATGTCTGTACCCTTCTGTTCTACGACAATGGTCTCCCGGTTCTCCAAAGGCATCTGATCATTCTTGTCTTGCGTAGTCAGAGAAGCATCTTGCCTACATTGCTTCCGTCTGACCTTACGATCCTCTTTGGATTTCAACTTCTTGAGACTGGCAAACAAAATGAAATTAAAAACATTAAGATACAGAAACAATTGTGATGGTAGTAATAGTACTGCCTTGGTTAAAGATTTGCTTGACATACAAATCTTTGATGTGCTCAGTCTGCAGTTTGATAAATTGCATTGGGTATGGACATGTAGAGAAACTTCAGCACAAAAATGTTGGTTCAACTCACCTTGAACATTTCTGATTTACTCTCAATTTTGCTGTACCTCTATGTTTTTCAATAGATGCTAAAGACACAAACTAAAGACACAGAATAATAGACTCATTAATGTGATATAAAATGGCGATTACATTTAAAGATGCACTATGCAGAAATCGATCCGCCATTTCCTGGTTGCAAAAATTCTAATTGTTTGCTTAATTTCAGTTTGTGACAAAACAAGCAAGTATAGTGTAGAGAACCATTGTACCATCTAAACCGCTGTTAAATATATTTTCCATAACCAAAAATATTGTATTTTCAGCTGTTGTACAAAACCGAAAGTAAAATTAAACTTAGCGGGAAGCATAGAAATAGCGCACATAGAACATATCTACCGCTTCTTAGACTTGCTTTCAGTGAAAATGAGATCTATAACACACAGTTCTATGTGAATTGCCCAAAAAGTTACATATTGTAGCTTTAATAATAACATGCCAACATTAGAGAAATTCCTTACCTCACATTTGACAAGCCCTGTTGAACCATATATTTTAATATGACAGATTCTACCCCCACATTCTGGAGTAAAGCAAATTTCCTGCAGGAAATCCTGTGGGTAAAAACAGACATGAGTATACTAGCGGCAAGAGTGACGTAAAAGAAAATTGGTGTGCACTTGAACTTGAAGGTTGCAAATAGATGTTACCTTTTCATTCTTATCAGAGAATGCTGTTACTTTCAACTTCTTCCAACAGCTGATATGGTACTCCACTTTGCAGCTTTGGCAGCAAACCACCCGAATGAAACCCTATGAGTAAAGACGGAGGTATGAGTGTTTAGTGAACATGTTAGGTCTGACTTTCATGGAGGCAACTTAGGTTGATCACATTTGTCATTTACCTTAAAATCTGGATCTGTGAAGTAGATTTCCATTTTGGAATGGCCATGGCAATTCTGATGCCGACAAATGGCATCTGGTTTAGGTGGAAATTTGCACATCTCTATGGATTCCTCTAGCAGCTCCTGGTTTGGGGTTCAAATTAAAATAAAAAACAGAACAAAATCAAAACCACAGCAAGCAATGACATTTCCTGCCTCATTTCAACAGTTGATTTGAACCAAAACCCAAGTAAGATCATAAATGAGAACGTACCTTGAAATAGTCCAGCTTAGTCTCCTCAACAATAGCTGTTGTGGTGGGCCAAGTCAGTTTACCAGGTGTTATCTTCTTCTTAACCATTTGCATAGAATTAGAAAACTGTTCCAGAGCAATTGGAAATCTACAGGGGGGGAGGAAAAAAACATTTGTAAGTATACCCTGTGACGTGCACCTATAATTTCAGAGTGCTCTATAAACATGATCCCATCTGTAACTACCGGTTCTCCTTCTGATACACCTTTCCAATGCCGTAAAAAACCAGACACTGAAACTTCCTCTCTTCAAAGGTTTTGATCTTGTCAAAGTCCCTTTGAGCTTCAGCAAGTTCCTAAATAGAAGAAGAAGAAAAAACAGTACAAAGCCTGATTGTGGTTGAGACCATATCAAAACACTTATAATATGCCATTAAGCAGACGCTTTGCGACTTGCAGTCATGCGTGCATACATTTTAAATATGGGTGGTCCCGGGAATTGAACCCACTACCCTGGAGTTACAAGCGCCATGCTCTACCAACTGAGCTACAAAGGACCACTTGAAAAGCATAGTAGCCTTCCTTGGTAGCTAGCGATCACACAAAGTTTCTTACCTCAGGTTGACCAATCTCTAACAGAGCTGAGGCATGGCCATAAATCAGCACAACTTGGTCAAGAGCACAGAGGCCAAGTTCCTGGGGAGGAGAAAAAAGTGAATTAGCTGCTAGCTAAATTAGACAATGGCTAGTTAGCTTGCTAATGCAACTGATACTGTATTTGAAAACAGGCAAGGTAACCTTGTTAGCAAGCTAGCAAATATTAGCAAACATACTTGCAAGCTAGCTAAATTGTGTTGGCTAGCTAGCTCCTGCAGTTGCTCACCAATCCACACCAAACCAAACAATTTGCAAGGCTCGTCGTTCACTCAACTGACTTAGCAAAAAATTAAAAAGACATTCAGTCAAGCTAGCCTGGTAGCTGGCCAGACTAACTAAAACATGTGACTACAGGGGTTTGTATACATCACGTTCCAAAACACAGCTTTAACTAGCCAAGTTGCAATAATTTGACCTACTCTACAAACATTAGCACAGTAAACTGACATCGATATATACACTGCTCAAAAAAATAAAGGGAACACTTAAACAACACAATGTAACTCCAAGTCAATCACACTTCTGTGAAATCAAACTGTCCACTTAGGAAGAAACACTGATTGACAATACATTTCACATGCTGTTGTGCAAATGGAATAGACAACAGGTGGAAATTATAGGCAATTAGCAAGACACCCCCAATAAAGGACTGGTTTTGCAGGTGGTGACCACAGACCACTTCTCAGTTCCTATGCTTCCTGGCTGATGTTTTGGTCACTTTTGAATGCTGGCGGTGCTTTCACTCTAGTGGTAGCATGAGACGGAGTCTACAACCCACACAAGTGGCTCAGGTAGTGCAGCTCATCCAGGATGGCACATCAATGCGAGCTGTGGCAAGAAGGTTTGCTGTGTCTGTCAGCGTAGTGTCCAGAGCATGGAGGCGCTACCAGGAGACAGGCCAGTACATCAGGAGACGTGGAGGAGGCCGTAGGAGGGCAACAACCCAGCAGCAGGACCGCTACCTCCGCCTTTGTGCAAGGAGGAGCAGGAGGAGCACTGCCAGAGCCCTGCAAAATGACCTCCAGCAGGCCACAAATGTGCATGTGTCTGCTCAAACGGTCAGAAACAGACTCCATGAGGGTGGTATGAGGGCCCGACGTCCACAGGTGGGGGTTGTGCTTACAGCCCAACACCGTGCAGGACGTTTGGCATTTGCCAAAGAACACCAGGATTGGCAAATTCGCCACTGGCGCCCTGTGCTCTTCACAGATGAAAGCATGTTCACACTGAGCACATGTGACAGACGTGACAGAGTCTGGAGACGCCGTGGAGAACGTTCTGCTGCCTGCAACATCCTCCAGCATGACCGGTTTGGCGGTGGGTCAGTCATGGTGTGGGTGGCATTTCTTTGGGGGGCCGCACAGCCCTCCATGTGCTCGCCAGAGGTAGTCTGACTGCCATTAGGTACCGAGATGAGATCCTCAGACCCCTTGTGAGAACATATGCTGGTGCAGTTGGCCCTGGGTTCCTCCTAATGCAAGACAATGCTAGACCTCATGTGGCTGGAGTGTGTCAGCAGTTCCTGCAAGAGGAAGGCATTGATGCTATGGACTGGCCCGCCCGTTCCCCAGACCTGAATCCAATTGAGCACATCATGTCTCGCTCCATCCACCAACGCCAAGTTGCACCACAGACTGTCCAGGAGTTGGCGGATGCTTTAGTCCAGGTCTGGGAGGAGATCCCTCAGGAGACCATCCGCCACCTCATCAGGAGCATGCCCAGGCGTTGTAGGGTGGTCATACAGGCACGTGGAGGCCACACACACTACTGAGCCTCATTTTGACTTGTTTTAAGGACATTACATCAAAGTTGGATCAGCCTGTAGTGTGGTTTTCCACTTTAATTTTGAGGGTGACTCCAAATCCAGACCTCCATGGGTTGATAAATTTGATTTTCATTGATAATTTTTGTGTGATTTTGTTGTCAGCACATTCAACTATGTAAAGAAAAAAGTATTTAATAAGATTATTTCATTCATTCAGATCTAGGATGTGTTATTTTAGTGTTCCCTTATTTTTTTTGAGCAGTGTATATTTATTTATTTTTGGGTGAGAAAATAACCCTCCTAAACAGTTTCTCTAAACAAAGCCCAGTTTCCTGTTAAGCTGCACCTTTCCTATTGCACATATCTTCTGAATGCGGTTGTGCCAAGGAGTACAGATTGAGCTGAAGTTGCCCCACTTCCTTTACCACACTTCTCTAAATGGTTTCACTGATGGTGGGAGGGACAGGCTTTGTGCCGTACCTTTGGTGTGCTGGTCTCCAGGATGACGAGGGCCTGGGAGAAGGCCTGCTCTGCGTTGCGGCATCGCTGGTCGGCCAGGGCCGTGTGGGCATCCTGCACAGCTGACACCAGCAAGTCCCGCATACTGGGGTCTCCGGATCTGCCTAATATCATCTGAGTGATAATAATGTAAGCATACTGTGATCATCTGAGTAAATAATGTAAGCATACTGTGTCCATAATAAGTATATAGGTTGTATGTTGGGAGCTTTTGGGAAAGAGCACAGTTAGAAAGATATGGCATATAGAAGCAAACCGGATGGACATCATGAAAATGATCGGAGAGGTTGAGAGTAGAAGTAGTTCAGGAGCAAAAAAATATATATATATAATAGAATTATTGTAAAATTAACTCTGTCCATAAGGTGTAGATAGTAAGTATAGATCGGAAGTAGAGGCCTGGGCATTGTTGTTCACTAATTTACTCCAAGTAGGGAAAGGATGGCGGGGTTGAAAAGTAATAAAGGGGAGTATATATATATAAAAAAAAACATGGGGGATTGGAAGTGATGCAGACAATTACATTGATAGAAGATACAATCTGCAATATTAAGCTGATCCATCCCCCCCAAAAATTTTTTTAAAAAAAATAACAAAAAATGAAATTAAAAAATAAAAAAAATAAATAAAATTTATCTGAGTGGGAAGGGGTATCCATGAGTCACTAATAACCTGCAAAGTTGTTTCTAAACACACATTTATAGGTGAAAACTACTTCAGGAAATCATGCATCAGCCTAGTTGACATGTTCTTTGTGGTAAAAAGGACCCAATTAAATGGGATGAATATAAAATCTGTTTCAGAGCCAGGGAGATAGTGGGTTAGCGGGAGGAGGGGAGGCCACAGTATATTTTGATAATGAAGGGCATACCATTAGTGAGGGGGAAAGTTAAAGTTATGGCAGGAAATTAGAGTCAGGAAATGCATCCAACATTTGTTTGGTGTTGTGATATCAAATGTGAAATTCTATTTCAGAGGGGTATACTACAAAGCAGGATCAATGAGTTAGTCAGCTAACTTTGATAAACCAGAAATAACTTGATTTTCTGAAAGCTATAAACTTGTGTTTTTGGTTGTCGAGTCAGTTAGACCATGACCATTCCAAGGTAATCTTCCTAAAAAAATAAGTTATTTCAGAATATTTAGGTCTGTTACCTCAGATTCTGCTTTGTAGTATACCCCTCTGAGCTGTAACATCATGACATCGTTGTCACAAGAACAAATCTGTACCTTTGAATGCTGGTTTCTGCTCTTCCCTTTCGGTTTCTCTGAAGCGATGGGCTCTGATTTGCTGCTCTTTTTATCAGCCATTTGACTGAAAATAAAAAACTGATTATAGTATTTTTCATACTTTTTCGAGTAGCCTACTGTAGTTAATTGCAGAGTACACAAATGTGACTGAATATATCCAACTGTTTCAAACTGAATGCTGGCTACTTGAGGAATACCTATGTAAGAATGCTGTTCATTGACTATAGCTCAGCATTCAACACCATAGTACCCTCCAAGCTCATCATTAAGCTCAGGGCCCTGGGTCTGAACCCCACCCTGTGCAATTGGGTCCTGGACTTCCTGACGGGCCGCCCCCATGTGGTGAAGGTAGGAAACAACATCTCCAGTACATGTGTATCAAAGCTGGGACCGAGAGACTGAAAAACTGCTTCCATCTCAAGGCCATCAGACTGTTAAATAGCCATCACTAGCACATTAGAGGCTGCTGCTGCCTATTGAAATCACTGGCCACTTTAAGAAATGGAACACTAGTCACTTTAATAATTTTTACATATCTTGCACTACTCGTCTCATATGTATATACTGCATTCTATTCTACTGTATCTTAGTCCATGCCGCTCTGTCATTGCTTGTCCATATTAGGGGTGGGCGATATGAGCTAAAATTCATATCACGATATTTTCCACTGTCCAGACGATATCGATATGATATCACGATATATGACGTAAAAAAATATGAATCACATTTTAATATCCCTTCTTGGTTAAATTATATTAGTTAAGGAAAAATATGTATTTGAACCTTATATAACCAGAAAGAGTGAGGCATTGGACCGTATGGACCTGAAAAGTTTTTATTTGTATTGTGCAAACATGCATTCCGTAAACATGAGGTAGGTAGGCCTATATATATATATATATATATAAATTAGATATTAAGTAAAATTAAATAAAAAATAACAGGAGATAAAGAAAATAAGGTAATTACAAATTCAAATACGTGTGTTTGTTTTGGCTACGGTCCGTAGATATGTAAAAAACTAACCGTTTGAAACTAAACCTTTCAAGCCTCAACCATCAATTATCAACAATATCAACAAATCTTCACTAGAACTTTCTTCACAAGTTCCGTGCCAGGAATACCAGCATGTTGACTGTTTCTGGCTTTAGTGCTGCCCTGTGACATGTCACCACATTGCCCCCAGTGCTGAATGCCCTCTCAGAGGGGGCACTTGTGGCAGGGATGCATAAGTATTTCTTTGCCAGACAACTCACACGTGGAAAATTAGATCCGTGAAATCGCCACCACTCCAAAGGATCAGACTCGCTGTCTGCTGCCGTTGCCAGAATGTAGCTATTCAGCTCTTGCTCAATGATCTGCCTCTCTGAACATGAGGCAGGTGCACTGCTGGTCTGCTTAAAGAAGCTCCCAAGGCTCTTCTTGGGCTTCTTGCCTGATTGATGAGCAGTGGAAGCTTCTTTCTCCCTGTCAGTGTGATCCTCTGCAAGAGACGATTTTCCCAGGGCTGTGTTCTCCACCAGGAGGGCTTCGGTCTCTGAGGCAGCTCTCACCTTAAAAAATGAAAATAATTAAACTTTATTTGTATAGCACCTTTCATACATAAAATGCAGCCCAAAGTGCTTTACTTTTGAAGCAATAAAACAAGAACAAATGAATAAATACCTTAATGTCCTCCAGTTTCTCAGCGGACATGTACCTGGTCTTGAACCTTGGATCTAGAAAGGTAGCCATGGAGAGCAGCTCATCTGTTGCAGGGTCAGTGTACTTGTTATTCAAGTAATCAAGAACCTTGATCTTGATCTCTTTGGTCAGTTCTGTATCGTCCTTGCTCAGATTTAGAACCTCTGCATTTAACAGATTGATGACAGGCTTCAAATAGGACACGCTCACATACGCTTCTCCTGACAGGGCATCTGTAAAGTCCTGGAGTGGCTTCAGTGCTGCTGTGACTGATTCCAAGACCTGGATGTCTTGCCAGGTAGGTACAAGGTGCCGTGTCTTTTTGTCCCCTGCCAGGACCTGTGTAATGGCCTTTTCCTGCTCCAGGACTCTTTCCATCATTTTCAGACGAGATCCCCACCTTGTCGGAGATTCTGTGATGAGCTTGTGCAGGGGCAGGCTTAGTTCATTCTGTGCTGTCATCAGGGCCTTCTGCTTTTTCCAGCTGTATGAGAACGTGCTAACCACCTTTTTGCAAACCCCTGTGGCCCGGGAAATCGCACACCCCTGTGGCCCGGGAGCGTTTTGGACACTCCTCTCTGGAAATTGGGAATAAGAAATCAAAATAATAGGGTGAAAAATAATCGAATCACAATACAATAATAATTAATAATAATGCATTTTTATATAGAAATCACAATACAATATAACTTTTAATCTTTGTTTGAGGATTTACGGCATTTACATTCAACTGTTACACATTTTACAAATCTGATGTGCTTAGATTTAGCCTACGGTACATGGCTGATGTGAGCTGTATTTTTTCTTAATAATAAGCATCATACAGGGTAGGCCTAGGCTACAGTCCTGAAACTTACCAATAGCATTGTGCAGCCTGTGTCCGAAACATCCAAGGTTTGCCCACTTGTTCAGCTGCAATGCCTTGATCATGTTCGATCCGCTGTCGGTCGTCATACAAACTTGACGCGACTCTTTTAATCCCCAGGACGACAGTATGTCCCTCAGCCCACCTGCAATTATTTCCCCGGTGTGGTCGTCTGGGAAATAAGACGTCTGTAGGCACTTACTTTTCAGTTTCCAGTCACCGTCTATGTAATGGATTGTGAGGCTTATATAAGGTTCTGTGGTACGACTTGACCATAGATCGGCAGTAGTGGAGAAGAATGGAATGTTATTTATCTCACTGTAAACTCTGTCCCAGCATTCTGTGTAAAGCTGTGGCAGGCATTTTTGGCTAAAATATTTGCGGCTCGGGATCTCATATCTTGGGTCCAGAGTTTGAATCAACTTTCTGAACCCCTCTTTCTCCACAGTTTGAATCGGTACCATGTCCTTCGCTATGTGATTTGTAATCGCAGCTGTGATGTCTATCCATTTTTTGCTCGTCTTCTCATAGCAAGTACCGGCAGCAAATGATGATATAATTGATTGTTGAGTGCGAGTCTGGCTTGTCTTCGGGCGAGCTCCTGGGCTTACTGTCTCACGCATTCTGGTGCATTGTTCATACTCACGGACATGTATGTTTTTTAAGTGATTGAACAGGTTGGTCGTGTTTCCACCTTTTGCTAAGACAACACGACGACACAACTTGCATAGGGTAGTGTTTTGGTCGGGGTCGGAGATTTTAAAGCCAAACCAGTTCCAAACAACAGAGGTGCCCCCTTTCTTCTTAACCAATTTATCCTCCTGCTCTTGAGCAACATCAATTTCTGTGTTTTCGCTCATCCTGGATTGTAAAGTTTTCCCCCAATAGTTAACCTGCCTCCTAACTGCAGCTGCCTGCACACTTCTTTGTTGCTAGCACTACATGCGTGCAACAAGTGCATGCGACGTGCGCTCATAAAAATAGGTCAACATATTAACATACATTCTTTTATTCGTAAGAACCAAGAAAGGTTGGATAAAAAAAAAAAAAAAAAGATGTAGCTACTTAGTACTATCACTCAGTTGAAATTTGGAACAAAAAAATATTGATGCAAAATTCGAATTTATGAATTCTGAATAAATCGCGGTATCCATGATATTGCTAAATCCATATCATGGCGCGGCACAATACCGGTTTTTACTATCAAACCGGTATATCGCCCACTCCTAGTCCATATATGTATATATTCTTAAATCCCATTCCTTACTAGTTTTGTGTGTATTGGCTATATGTTGTGAAATTGTTAGATATTACTTGTTAGATATTACTGCACTGTCAGAGCTAGAAGCACAAGCATTTCGCTACACCCGCTATAACATCTGCTAAACACGTGTATGTGACAAATACAATTTGATTTGAGACAGACCAAAAACAGGAAATCACCCAAGTATGAAAGTGTGCTCAGAACTGTAGGCAGTTATTTAACATTATTTGACTAGCACCCTCAAGCACTAACCAAGTAAGCAAGAATGCACATACCACACTGAACTTCCAATGTCAACTAACAATTCCTCTCAAGAACGTGCATTATGTGCTTTTCCTATAGACAATTTAACACAACGATTCAGATTCTTGGTTGGGTTCAATAAAGCAGTTGCGAAATAAAACAGATCCGTTGCTTCAGATAAATAGCCTATATTGTTTGTCCAAAACATAATTCGATGTCATATTGTTCATATGCACCAACTTTAATTAACATTGCGTTACACTGAAGAGGTCCATTTGGGATCAATATACTGCACTAACTTTCTTCCCCACTCAACAGAAGCTCTGGTCTGTTGGTCTGGCAGTGAAGTAAGGCTATTGTATTACAAACCTGGTAAGCAAATCGATCATAAAACTCACCTTTTCGTCTCTTTAGGCCCCTCTGCATTATCCACTGAATGTGCTCCCCCTTCAGCTTTCACTAGGGAGAAAAGGGTTAGCAACGATAAGTTTCAGCAAAGAAAACAGTCACAAAACCAGCAACTCTGGAGAAAGTGGTGATATGTGCTCTTAAAGAAACAGCTCAGGGAAGTCAAAACAACCACAAGGTTATGATGGGCTGCAAGACAACAACTGGCTTAACTTGTTCTCAGCGTTGCAACAGTATTAGTCATTGTTCAACACAGGTGGGGCAATATTCAGGATGTGGTAGGTGCTGACATAATACTTTTTTCAACAGCATTTCTAGAGGTACCTAAAAAGCTGCATTGAATTTAATTCAATAGCTAAACAATTTGATCCTATTTATTTCAACCTTAACAGAAGACCTTTATATTAGTTTGAGCAAAGCAGAAATAGCAGCAAAAAACTTACCTGGCTGTGTCAGACTTTCCACCTTGACTCCTGAGCACTGGGTTTGGTGACATGAAAAGATAATCAGAAATATAAATTTCCTAAAACATTATGGATTACATATTTGGACTGCAAAACAGCCCCAACAGTATTACTCACAACATGATTTATTTAGAAACATTACAATGTCCATGAGATGGGGTCAATTCTATAGCTGATCAAACAGCTCACTGATCAGTGCACGACAAAGCAATCACCAGCTGCAGTACTTGAACTGCCTTTTGGATTAAACGCTGCAATATGTAACTTTTTGAGCGACCCAAAAATTCACAGAAATGTGAGTTATAGATCTGTCATTCTAATTGAAAGCAAGTCTAAGAAGTGGTAGATCTGTTCTATGTGCGTTATTTCTATAAATACCATTCTTTAGTTAAATCTTTGTGTCTTTTACTTTTGGTTTTGTACACCAGCTTCAAACAGCTGAAAATACAATATTTGTGGTTATGGAAAATATATTTCACAGAGGTTTAGATGGTACAATGATTCTCTACACTATACTTGCTTGATTTGTCATATAAAAACTGAAATTAGGTGTACTATTAGGATTTTATCAACTAGGAAATGGTGGAGCAATTTCTGCATAGTGAATCTTTGCGCTTTGCGAGGACTGTTTTGTGGACAAAAGAGGACCCCCTAAATGTAATTCATAGACTAGGGTAGTGAAAGTTGAGGGCCAGGTCTGAGTAACTGACCTTGTTCTCAGGAGCGGTGCTATTAGTGCAAGGCTCAACCTTACTGGCAGGTTTATCAGTCTGTTGTCGTGACTCTGTAGTGTCTGCTCTGGTGGTACTGTCCGTTCTGTAGATTACAGTAAAACACAATGGTTACACAAATTCTAAATGATCCACAAATGTATAATTGTGGTTGGTTTGTAAACATCATTGAGTAAGGTACCGTACATACCTTTTACTTGAAACTTTCTTAGCTGCAGTTTTATTCGGTCTGCCAACTAGAAATGAATACAGTTTGCATACATGAAAAGAAACCACACATTACATACAGACTTGGATTGAATGATTTAGCAAAACTAGACGAGACCTACCAACAAACAACTCTAAATTGAGAACAATTAAGAGGAAAACCTGCTTTTGAAGAAGGAACAGAGCTGGTAAAGCAAGCACAACCTACCCACGACTCAGATTACAAGAGCAATGAAAGGAAATACATACCGTAAACCAATGGCATGCCATTGTAACTAACAAGGTAGACTACTTCCGTTTGACCACAACCTAAACAATACATTTCTTCTCCATAGCTCCCCAAAGGAACTGAACTTTTTCATGTCTTCTTGATAGAGGCAGGGTTAGGATTAGCCACTCCCACTTTTTACTATTGGTTATGATCACAATTTATGGCCACTCAACATATGGCAGAGTTGCCTCTGTCTCATGACAAGAGGTGCTGCATTCTTAGCATGAAGGCTCTTGTTGGGGGTTACATTCATCTGCTAATGACAGTTTTACAATCCCTCTGATTTGTCATGGAGGGAGTTTTACAAGGGCCCAAATTAGTCTCGGTAACCGCGAGCCGAGTAGTACAATCCCCCCAGAATTTGTCCCTGTAATTCATCTGGTTTCCTAAAAGATCGACTGGTTTTAATATGAAGTTCTAGATAGGGTCTCCAAATGTACCACAGAACTGCACTCAGGTTGGTCACCTGGGTCCTCTATGTGTAAGCATAAAGACTGCAGGAGAGTTTCCCTGTTACCTTTGCTCTCCTCTTCCCTGCGACGTTTGCTCTCCATCTCTATGTTGAACTTGGTATGTTGCTGCAGCAGGTCCTTCATGCCCTCTGGGTCAGCCTTGCACAGAGTCTGGGCCCACTCGTTGGCTGCCACCGCCCGCTTGTGTTCCCCAAGGAGGAACAACGCCTCACAGTACCGGTAGTGACCCTGCCACACAGGGGAAGATACCATCATTCACCGACACATAGACATCATCATTTTAGGAATGTTGGTACTTTGGTGGACATTAACATACCATTGCAACCACTCCACATATCATTTTTGTAGACTTAAGTTTCCTTAAGACATTTCATGCCTCATGAAACGTTTCCACACTGATAATAAAGTTTTCATTTCTGAGCAATAGAACTAGCTAGCTTCTCAGTCAAAATGTATTAATTTCCCCACCATCAGAGGGTTTGATCCTCAGATTTTTCTGATAACCCTTGCTTGAGAAGCTACTGAGGGAAATCTCATTGGAAATTCAGACATGGCTGTGGGAGCATAGCTTACCTTTGCCCACTCTGGTTGTATCAAAGTGGCTCGTTTTCCATCACCAACAGCTTTTCTGCAACAAAGAAATTATGCCATTGATCATTAAACATAACGGGTCTGTGTAACAGTGTCCTATACAAAACAGGTTTGTTTATAGTTTGTGAAGGACTTACAGATATTTTTCACTACGAATATAGCAAAGTGCTCTGTTCCCATAGATAATGTAGTTTTCAGGGCTGAAAAATAGATAGGATTATGTTATCAAACAAGAATTCATTCAACGACATACAAAAATATGATTGTTTAGAAGTTGACAAACTACGCAATTCTGGCCTATTTTGACAAACCAAATGGGAAAGATAGTGATGATAGGTTGTCCAAAAGTGACTTACACTTCAGAGACATTTATGGCTCCATTAATTGACATTCTCAGCTGGGAGGGTGTTAGTCACAGGACACATGTTGAAGTCAAAAGGTACCAGGGACAATAACATGTATACTACTGATTTGACTGTCAAATCCAAATCAAATTTTATTGGGTCACATGCTTCGTAAACAACAGGTGTAAACTAACAGTGAAAGGCTAAATTACAGGTACTTTTCCAAAAGTTAAAAGATAAAACAAATACATATAGAAATAGTGCCGATTTATAAATACACTGTGAATAACAATAACGAGTAAAATAACATGGCTATATACAGGGGTTACCAGTACCAAGTTGCTGTACAGGGGTAATTCAAGTAGCTATGTACATATAGGTAGGGATAAAGTGACTAGGCAACAGGTTTGATAATTAGGGCCCGGAACGATACCAGTACCACAATATTTATTTACATGCCAAAAATGAACAAACGAAGCAGACCAAACTCTTTGGTCCTTTAAAAAAATATCTGCTGTATCAGGGTTTCTGAATTGTTCTGAGGACACAAGGGGAAGAGAGGGGGTGCAACTCCATATTAGGACAGTGTTCCAAGTTAGGGGGTAGAAGCTGTTCAGGGTCCTGTTGGTTCCAGACTTGCCGTGTGGTAGCCGAGAGAACAGTCTATGGCTTGGGTGGCTGGAGTCAAACTTTGTCCTTCCTCTGACACCGCCTGGTATAGAGGTCCTGGATGGCAGGGAGCTAGGCCACAGTGATGTACTCACCAACCCTCTGTAGTGCCTTGCAGTTGCCGTACCAAGCAAACGCAGCCAGTCAAGATACTCTCAATAGTGCAGCTGTAGAACATTGAGGATCCGAGGGCCCATACCAAATCTTTTCAGCCTTCTGAGGGGGAAGAGGCATTGTCATGCCCCCTTCATGACTGTGTGGACCATGTTAATTCCTTAGTGATGTGGACACCGAGGAACTTGAAGCGTTCGACCAGCTCCACTACAGCCCCATTGATGTGGATGGGGGCGTGCTCTCCCCTCAGTTTCCTGTAGTCCACGATCAGTACCTTTGTCTTGCTGACACTGACGGAGAGGTTGTTGTCCTAAGCACACCCCCGAGGTGCCCCCCGTGTTGATGGTCAATGTGGCGGATGTGTTGTTGCCTATCCTCACCGCCTGGGGCAGCTCGTCAGGAAGTCCAGGATCCAGTTGCAGAGGGAGGTGTTCATTTCCAGGGTCCTGAACTTGGCGATGAGCTCAGAACGGACTATGGTGTCGAATGCTGAGTTGTAGTCATTGAACAGCATTCTTACATAGGTATTCCTTTTGTCCAGCTGGGTGAGGGCAGTGTGGAGTGAAATAGAGATTGCGTCATCTGTGGGTCTGTTGGGGCGGTTTTTGCGAAGTGGAGTGGGTCCAGTGTGTCTGGGATGATTGTGTTGATGTGAGCCATAACAAGCCTTTCACTGGCCAATGGACTGTAACACCAGTGTATTCACCCTGATGTTATACTAGAGAAATTGTGTTGCAATATAGGGCTGACAGTGAAGACTTGAAGAGCAGAACCAACAATCTGTGCATAGTCAAAACAGTTGCTTTGTGAGGTGTTAACCGTCAAAGGTCTAAATCCATGTTCACAGTTAGCCATTGTTATGTTAACGACACCCGAAAAGCCCCTGCGGCCTTGCCTTGGCCCCAAGACAGAGCAGGTGAACTGAGGCCATGGTACAGTGAGTCCCAGGAGCCGGGCCTTGGAAGCACAAAAGTCTGATGCTTTTTTGTTAAACACTGGGGTAAATCCTTAGTGGAAATGCACCAATTGGGTATCATGAAACCAGGGACAATAATTAATTGGGAAAAGGTCATGCACAGATCAAAGACAACATTGGATACAATCACACACTTAGTGCCTTCAGAAAGTATTCATACCCCTTGACTTATTCCACATTGTGTTACAGCCGGAATTCAAAATGGATTAAATTGACCCCCCCCCCACCCATTTACACACAATACCCCATAATGACAGTGACATTTTATTTGAAAATGAAATACAGAAATCTCACTTACATAAGTAGTCACACCCCTGAGTCAATACTTTGTAGAAGCATATTTGGCAGCGATTACAGCTTTGAGTCTTTCTGGGTAAGTCGAAGAGCTTTTCACACCTGGGTTGTGCAACATCTGCCCATTATTATTTTCAAAATTCTTCAATCTCTGTCATATTGGTTTACAGAGTTTAAATGGCTGTGATAAGAGAACTGAGGATGGATCTTAGCTTTTTACGCTGCTGCTACTCTGTAATTATTTATGCATAGTCACTTTAACTCTACCCACATGTACATATTACCTCAACTACCTCAACTAGCCGGTGCCCCCGCACATTGACTCTGCAACGGTACCCCCCTGTATATATAGCCTCCCTACTGTTATTTTATTTTACTTCTGCTCTTTTTTTGCTCAACACTTTTTTTGTTGTTGTTTTATTTTTGTTAAAAATAAATGCACTGTTGGTTAAGGGCTGTAAGTAAGCATTTCACTGTAATGTCTGCACCTGTTGTATTCGGCGCATGTGACCAATAAAATTTGATTTGATTTGATCAACATTATTGTTAATCCACAATACTAACATGAATGACAGGGTGAAAAGAAGGAAGCCTGTACAGAAGAAAAATATTCCAAAACATGCATCAAGGCACTAAAGTAATACTGCAAAACATTTGAACTTTTTCTCATGAATACAAAGTGTTATGTTTGGGGCAAATCCAACACAACACCGAGTACCACTATTCATATTTTCAAGCATGGTGGTGGCTGCATCAGGTCATGGGTATGCTTGTCATCGGCAAGGACTAGGGAATTTTTTGGGGGGATAAAAATAAACGGCAAAATCCTAGATGAAAACCTGGTTCAGTCTGCTTTCCAACAGACACTGAGACAAATTCACCTTTCAGCTGGACAATAACCTAAAACTCAAGGCCAAATATACAGTGAGGGAAAAAAGTATTTGATCCCCTGCTGATTTTGTACTTTTGCCCACTGATAAAGACATGATCAGTCTATAATATTAATGGTAGGTTTATTTGAACAGTGAGAGACAGAATAACAAAAAAAGTCAGAAAACCGCATGTCAAAAATGTTATAAATTGATTTGCATTTTAATGAGGGAAATAAGTATTTGACCCCTCTGCATAACATGATTTAGTACTTGGTGGCAAAACCCTTGTTGGCAATCACAGAGTTCAGACGTTTCTTGTAGTTGGCCACCAGGTTTGCACACATCTCAGGAGGGATTTTGTTCCACTCCTCTTTGCAGATCTTCTCCAAGTCATTAAGGTTTCGAGGCTGACGTTTGGCAACTCGAACCTTCAGCTCCCTCCACAGATTTTCTATGGGATTAAGGTCTGGAGACTGGCTAGGCCACTCCAGGACCTTAATGTGCTTCTTCTTGAGCCACTCCTTTGTTGCCTTGGCCGTGTGTTTTGGGTCATTGTCATGCTGGAAGACCCATTTTCAATACCCTGGCTGAGGGAAGGAGGTTCTCACCCAAGATTTGACGGAACATGGCCCCGTCCATCGTCTCTTTGATGCGGTGAAGTTGTCCTGTCCCCTTAGCAGAAAAACAACCCCAAAGCATAATGTTTCCACCTCCATGTTTGACGGTGGGGATGGTGTTCTTGGGGTCATAGGCAGCATTCCTCCTCCTCCAAACACGGCGAGTTGATGCTAAAGAGCTCGATTTTGGTCTCATCTGACCACAACACTTTCAACCAGTTCTCCTCTGAATCATTCCGATGTTCATTGGCAAACTTCAGACGGGCCTGTATATGTGCTTTCTTGAGCAGGGGGACCTGCAGGATTTCAGTCCTTCACGGCGTAGTGTGTTACCAATTGTTTTCTTGGTGACTATGGTCCCAGCTGCCTTGAGATCATTGACAAGATCCTCCCGTGTAGTTCTGGGCTGATTCCTCACCGTTCTCATGATCATTGCAACTCATTGCATGGAGCCCCATGCCGAGGGAGATTGACAGTTCTTTTGTGTTTCTTCCATTCGCAAATAATAGCACCAACTGTTGTCACCTTCTCACCAAGCTGCTTGGCGATGGTCTTGTTGCCCATTACAGCCTTGTTTAGGGCTACAATCTTGTCCCTGACATCCTTGGAGAGCTCTTTAGTCTTGGCCATGGTGGAGAGTTTGGAATCTGATTGATTGATTGCTTCTGTGGACAGGTGTCTTTTATACAGGTAGCCAGCTGAGATTAGGAGCACTCCCTTTAAGAGTGTGCTCCTAATCTCAGCTCGTTACCTGTATAAAAGACACCAGGGAGCCAGAAATCTTTCTGATTGAGAGGGGGTCAAATACTTATTTCCCTCATTAAAATGCAAATCAATTAATAAAATTTTTGACATGCGTTTTTCTGGATTTTGTTGTTGTTATTCTGTCCCTCACTGTTCAAATAAAGCTACCATTAAAATTATAGACTGATCATTTCTTTGTCAGTGGGCAAACGTACGAAATCAGCAGGGGATCAAATACTTTTTTCCCCTCACTGGAGTTGCTTACCAAGACTACATTTAATGTTCCTGAGTGGCACAGTCACAGTTTTGACTTAAAATCTACTTGAAAAGATATGTCAAAACATGAAAATGACTGTCTAGCAATGATCAACAACCAACTTGAGGGCACTTGAAGATTTATTTTAAG